ATCTCATTTTTGTCGTACTTTTGAGGGCAAAATAAATTCGTACAGGATTAGTTTTTCCAGTATGAATCGGTCGTAAAAAAATTGAGACTTCATGAAATTGTATGACAATTGTATTGATTTTGGCACAACAGGTTTCAATCCAAAGATTGTTGCCCTTTAGTGAATGATTTCCAATTTTTTTGAGGCTGTTTAAGAACTTCATCAAAAATGAGCTTCGCCACTGTTTATTTCGTTGAAAACAAAAAAAGAAGTACGGAGCTGTGTAGCTATTTTCAGAAACCTCATTTAAACGCCGGAATCGCTGACTGAAACACCAATGTGCAAGCATTTCAGTCACTTGTGACCTACCTTGTTTTGCTTACAAAAACAAGCTCTTTTTTGTTGCAATGATGAAGGGGGTACTGTTTTTAAGTCTTACACATTAAATCAGGTACAAGCTTTTTCAATCGAAGCAAATATGAATTTTTTTTAAACATTTTTTCGGATTAATTGAGATTTCAATTAATTAGTGTATCAACACGAAAAATATGATATAGAGAATGTGGGTTGTTGTATATTTTTATCCCATGAATTCAAAAAGGGTCGAAGTATATTTTGTTTCCTAGGAGTTTCAATTGATTTGTAACCTCTTCTTCAAACTCTTACTTAACTTTTTCGAAATTAGCCAGTTTTCGTTCGTTTTCTAATTTGCTTCTCTGTCCTCTTCGAACTCTTATTCATTTTTTGCAATAACCGAGTTATCAATTATAGGGCCTACTGGGATGTCAATTCGAGGGCTGTTCAGTCAATTCAGATTTTCCTGTTTTTTTTTTAAAAATCGATTCGACTTTTTGTTGCGGTGATGAAGTGATTTTTTTTCTTCTCTGGTAGATTTTCTTCCTTTTGATTTAAACACAAAATAATTTCAAACAGGTCGTTTTAATCGGAAGAATCGGAGGTTTTAAATTTTTCGTAGTTTGAATTTTAACTTAACCAATCGATCGCCAATCAAATTATGCACAAGAATGCAGCGAGCTGTGCTTGATCATTTAAAGCATTTAAGCTAGCTTTACCCTTTTTGTTCTCAACGCTTGTTCTTTTTTTCCGATCGTCTTTTTTGTTTTCTGGTGTTGTATTTTTTAAGCTCTGTTCGCAAACTCGGGTAGGTCAGTATTAAATTTACTCAAAAAAAGTTTTACGAACAAAAAGGTTCAATGAACGTGTTGAGATACATTTTTTTATTTTGTAGAGTGCGGGTCCAGACCTGCTGAAGTGGGTAAGCGATTGTCTCATAAAAGCTTTCAAGCTCTGATTTCCGAGAATTCTACTTCGAATACTTGTAATCAAACAACGTGCAGCCTGTACCAGCCAGGATGGACCTAAAAGAATACTGCGAACTACGAAAAATACCAGACACAATAACCGATCTATCTGTTATCTAAAAAACATCACAAAGAACTTTCAGCTATTTTATGATCGGACCGATCCAGTTCATTAATTCTGACTGCCAACCGAATAAAGAATACGAGTTTTTGTCTCTGCACAAAACACTTGTTCGGTTGCGAACCTTTGTGCGGTTCCGATCTAAAAGGTTAAATTCAGAATATCATTAACTCAGCTGAGCAACTTGAGAAATAAACGGTAGAAGATGCTACTGGAGTACTGAAGCGACAGAAAAATTTCAGCAAAAACGTCCGGCAGCTATCATGCGAATGTCACGACGATTTTGCTTCAAACGCTAGCTCTGAACCAGAACAGAAAGAGGCCGTTGCGAGTAAAAGATGCAAACAGATGCACATGCGATTTGGCAGTAAACGATTTGGCAGCAAGAATAAACAGACAGAGGCCGATGCGTTTTGGGGGTGCCGGACATCAAGCCGACGGGACTTCAAGCCGAATTGTAAAATTAGGGACTTCAAGCCGAATAATTCCTTATAAAGTCGTGAAATATGAATAATTTGAAAACTTTTTTGAAGAATTTCTGAATTTCATGATCTTTCTTCCCTAGTTATTGGCGTTTGCATATAATTTGAGCCTCCAAATGATGTTTCGGAAAGTTTAAAATTAAAACATGGTTGAAGGCATTTTTCATGTTTATAATTCATGAATTTCAAAAACCGGCTGATGTTATTAACGGATGCCAATCACAAATGGTGCATTGTCATGAAAAACGCTTATCATGGACTAAACTTGCCAAAAATTTTGAAAAGCAACGTTTTACAGATGATGAAATTGTGTTTTGAGGTGCCTGTAAAGTTTTAATTTCGGCTTCAAGTCCCTTCGGCTTGAAGTCCCGTCGGCTTGTTGTCCTAGACCCGCGTTTTGGCAGTAAACATAAAAATCGAGGAGAGAAATTGAAATATTGATGAGAGAAATCGATGAACGCAACCAAGATTTGGAAGTAAAGACAACAGAACGACAATTAAACGCAACGATTGAACGCAACGAAGATTTGAAAGTAAAGACACCAGAACGACAATTAAACGCAACGATTATAACTTATGATTCAGTTGTGCAATAAGAGAACCGTGCCTCCATATTAAGTATGCTGAAAAGGCCGAAAGTTTTATCTGTGACAGTAAAGAGAACGTCAATGTAATTAGTGTTGAGGTTAGAAGTGTGTTTAGTAGCTTGGCACCTGGCTTGCCACTAACTTCACCGATTGACTAAATACACTGCGTGTTGATAGAGGTTTACGCTGTTCTCGTCAAACACCTAAAGTTAATAATTAAAATTAAAAAATGGGGAGCTGGATCAGATTATACGGGCATCTTTCGGTTTTAGAGCTGTGTCAGTACGTGACTTTGCTATGTGCGTCTGTTTGTATGTCTATTTGTGTCCGCATTCGCCTTTGTATTTGTGTCTTTATGTGTAATCATTTGTATGCCTGTGTGTTTGTATGTGGGTCTTTGTGATTATATGCGGGTCTGTACATGCGTAATTGAGTGTCTAGGCGCGTATTTCTGTGCGTGTTTTAGTGCATCTGTTTATACGTCTGTCTACGCCTATATTTGTGCGCTTTTGTATCTACCTGTACGTCGCTTTGTGCGTCTATTATGCGTCTGTCTATGAGCCTGTATATGCGTTAGTTTATAAGTACGTACACTCCTCTGTAATTGTGTCCTTATGGGTAAATGTTTGTATGCCTATGTGTGTTTGTATGTGGGTCTCTGTGATTATATGAGCGTTAGTTTATGCGTCTTTTTGTGTCCAGATAAGCCTCTATAAATGGGCCAATATGTCCGTCTGCCTGTGCGCTTCGATGTCCACATGAGCCTAAATATGTTTGTCAATATGTAAACCGATATTTGCGCCTGTCTCTATGTCTGTATACGTGCATGTCTGGGTGTCTAGGAGCGTATGTCTGTGCGCCTGTTTGTGCGTCTGTCTGTGGGTCTGTTAGTACATCCACCTGTGCGTCTGTCTGTAAGTCACTATATGCGACTGTCTCTGCGTCTCTATGTGTGTTGTTTGAACGTCTGTTTATGCGTATCTATGTATCTCTATGTGTTTCTATTCTTGGTGTTCGCATAAGCTTCTGTAAGTCTGCCTTTATGTACATCTGTCTGTGTGCATCTAACTGCGTCTGTCTCTACGTCTTAATGTGCGTCTGATTGTGCGTATGCAAGCATGCGCATCTGTTTGTGTGCCCATGTGTGCTTTTGTAAGTGTGTCAATATGTATAGCTGTATGTGCGCCTGTGTCTATGTCTGTATACGTGCGTGTCTGGGTGTCTAGGTGCGCATGTCTCTGCGTCTATTTGTGCGTCTGTTTGCGGGTCTGCATTTAGGTCTCTTTATGCACTGTCTCTGCGTCTCTTTGTGCATCTCTATATGTGCCTCTTTGTGCTTGTTTTTGCGTCTGTTTGCGTATGTCTGTGTTTCTGTCTTTTCGTCTGTTTGTGTCCGGATAATCCTCTGTAAATCTGCCTATATGTGCGTCTGTCTGTGTGCTTCTATTTCGAGTAGATAAAATTATTGACCAAATTGTCCAAAAAGATGAAACTTCTTTCTCCGTTGAAGCAATTTTTCTGAACTTTTTCCCTCAGGGAAAAACTTCATAAAAAAACAAGAAAATCATTTTAATATTTGAAAAAGTATCACATTTCCGTTAAACTAGGCTAATCTTTTTTTTTCTGCTGGAAAAATTGATTGAAATGAAATGCCTGACCCTGTTGCTTTAATTCGATTGGCTAATATCAGCCAATCAAATTCCACTGTATAAATTTTAGCTAAAGATCTTGATATTTTGGCGCCAATTAGTTTATATTGGAACCGTTTCCTTGTCCGTATGTGCCTCTGTAAGTGTGTGTTTTTTTAATTCAGCTCAAACAGACATTGCTGAGGTCACTGGTTCTCCTACCCTACGCCCACTGAGGTCACTGGTTCTCCTACCCGATGCTCGCTGAGGTCACTGGTTCTCCTACCCGATACCCGCTGAGGTCACTGGCTCTACTACCGATGCCCGCTGAGGTCACTTGTTCCCCGACCCGATGATATGACCTATAGAAGAGAAATGGGAGAAGTCTTAGAAATGTAAACAATGTAAAGATGAACATGTAAACATTTTTATGTTGTTTCATATATGCATGTTTTTAGGAAAATTTTGTTATTTTACATCTTTTAATTTGCGTTTTTCTTCCGGACATAATTAGAACGAAAAAAAATAATAGCCTAATTAGCGAACTAAAATGAATTATAATGGATTTTCTTGACAAAATAATCAATTCCAGTGCCAAAAATAATGGATTATAATAGATTATAATGGATTTTTACCTCAAAAATGATCGTCTATAATGGATTTTCTTGACACAATAATCGATTTCAGTGCCAAAAATAATGGATTCTAATCGATTATAATTGGATTTTTTCCTCAAAAATAATCAATTATAATGGCAATATAATCGATTTCGTGGCCTGAATTTTACAAGTACTGGATTCTAATGGATTAATTTTGAGTCGGAAATCCTTTATAATTGATTGAAAACCATTGGCTCTCGGTGCGGGTAGTAAATAAACAAATTAGTTTAATGACACACTAAACAAAAAATGATCGACAAAACTATCGCATAAAATTCCAAAAAATTTGATGCTTTGCTCACAGTTTGAGTCAAAAAGACCCATCAAAACATCATTCGGTAATTTGTTTACATCAAACAGACAACTATTTGATCTCTCCGTTCCACGCGCATGATCAATTTCTTCTTCAGTTAACGCTGATTCGGATTTCAGACATTCGACAGCTTGGGAAGAAACCTGGCTCAGTTTTTGATATCTTGTAGCAAAGAAAGAATCATTACACGCGACTGCAGCTTGGCTCAAAAACATGGCTCTAAGAAGGAGTCGAACTTTGATAGTATCTAGGCCAAATTGCTTTCCCTTGGTAGTTTTGGAGAGCAAGTTGAGGTCTTTGGAAGTGGCGACTGAATAGAGGGCGAAGAAGTTGTGAGGGTCATAATGAATCGTGATCAAATCTAGAGCAAATTGTTGGGCATGGCTATTCTGCATGCTCCCTAACTTTCTCCACACTTTGTAACAACCTAAACATCAAAACTTAATTGTTCATAAGCGAAGTTGATATAAGTACAAAGCTGATTTAAACTATCAGGACAAAATGAACAAAATTTGAATATTCAAACGCTCAGCTCATGCTTTTCCACAAAATATATGGCTTAGCCGTTATGCAGAAAAATTTCTTAAAACGTTTATTTTATATTACCCCTAAACTCAGATTTGGCAGGGTAGTTTTCGAGAAAATGAAAATACTCCAAAAAATGGTTGGATATTGCCCTACTGAAATTTTAGAAGGACGTAGAACGTCGAGTACAAAATCGATTAGCGGAACATTCAGCTCAAATGGGTGTAGCCGCTCTTTCAATTTGCACCACTATGTTGAACATCGGTAGTTCGACAAACATATTTTTTGCGAAAAATACAAAAAATTCCTACAACGTCTTTAAGAATAATTTCCTAAACCAAACCCCATTAATTTTCAGAATTTCTGTTTTCATCAAATAGTAACAAGACATCAATAATCCAGATTTCAAGATAAAATGCAATGAAGCACAAGCAAACCAGATATAATGCTCCAAAAGTGCCACCAAATAAACGAGCACTTTTATTTGCGCCAGAAGTTGGAAAAAAAAGTTGAGTTCGTATTGAGACATTGCTCTTCTTGTTTTATAATGTTCGTAATATGACACTAATATCAGCTGGTGTAAATATAACAAAAAAACTAGCCTTCCACCTCTCAGATTTAACTGAAGCGTCAGATGAGTCGATTTCCTTCCAACGTTTCGAACAAGAAAAGTCTAAGCCCAGATTGAACTACCTTAGCTGTTCAATAAGGTACTGGGCAGCAATAATATTATTGTTTCGACCACTACCGTAGTCGAAGGAACTTTGAATTCGAATCAGTTTTTTTCCAGCCAATTTTGACTACCTCGAGGAAATCTCGTAAATTGTGGTGCCATATTAGAGCCCTTGTGGTCATGATTCGAATTCTAAAAAGAAAACTCGACAATGTTTGTGTCCAGAAAAACCGGTTTGAACATTTTCAATTTTCAGACAGAATTAGACAAAAATTGATGACAGGCTGGCCTCCAACTTTAATCATAAAACATTAGAGGAAATTTGGGCAACGAAATTTGGGTAACGAATTTGAGCAACATCCCTAAATACCAAATTTGCCAAATTTTTAAAAAACATTCCAAAAAAAGCATTTTTAGGCACTTTTTTAAAAGTTTTGTCCAAAAAATCACGTTTTTTCGGCGCGCGCTCCCTTCTCAAAATTTATTTATATTGGCGCCTAAGGCGCCTTTAGAAAAATTTTAGGGTCGAATACATGAGGGGGAAGGGAGGGCGTCAAATCCCATCCCGCCCCCCCCCCCCTCCTAAATCCGCCACTGGCTTGGTTAATACAAATTCGATCAATTTAATCATTAGCCGATTTCCAACAAGGCCATATTTTGAGTAGGTGTTGGGCACTTTATTTCCAGGAGCTACTTTCTGTGTCTTTTTTCTGGTCTGTGTGAAACTCTGCAGCTTAATTAAAACAAATTTGCATAGTTTTCCAAACCATCCAAATTTTTGGCTTAATTATAAATTTTGGCTGATTCGGCTTGTGAAAAATGTTTGAAACGTTTTCTAATTCTAGCTAACCAGATTGAAGCAAAATAAATCCAGTTGAAAAAATTTGAAATATTGATTTTTGGGCGAAATAAATAAAAAGATCCAGAGTTCGCAATTATGTCATTTATAACTTGCGTCTTACGCAACGATTATGAAGCCATCAGTTTATTCAGCCGGCCTGTGTCCAGCAACCAAGACGACAGCTGTTAAGACGACTGTTGTCATATGACATGTCTCAATTTACAAGTTTCAACTTTCATTTGTCGTCTAAATGTCCTTTCATCTTATTCATCTAGCACTAGCTGATTTATGTAACACCGAATCAGAAGATTCCGAAAAAAGGGCGACACCTGTTATATCTGCGCACACAATCAAAAAGTATTAGTGATGAAAACCGGAAAACTTCTCACGACAAAAGGATCTCTTTGACTATTTCCCCCTTTTGCAAGCCCCCCCCCCCACGCCCCTTCAGGGATTCGACCCCCTGCCGACCCAAAGAGTCCCCCTTTGTACTATTTTGATATTTCAATACTTGGTGACCGACCCTAAAAATTTTCTAAAGGCGCCTTCCAACGGACAGAGCCAACGGACAGTTGGAAAAGAGTAATGAAAAAAAGGAAAAAAAGAAAAAAAAGAAAAAGAAAAAAAATAGGGCCTTAAAGCTCATTGAATTTCAAGAACAATTTATAATTGACACTTTTTAAATGAAATTAACTAAATTTGAGAAAAATGGATCAATAGTTAAGTTTTTAATTCGCTGGGAAATCTGAAAATTAAATTCAATTTTCGAAAATAGAAGTCAATCACGTTTTTTGTGACCTTTACACTTCTGCTGTTCGATAGTGAAGTTTACCTTCCTTTTAAAAGAGGAAATGAACTGAACTCAAAAGTCAAAAGTCAAGCCGCGAAAAATGAATTTGAGCCCAAACGGACAATTTTTAAGACTTTTCCTAAAAAACAAAGAATCATCGCGACCAATATGAGTCTTAACTACATTCATCGACTCTTAGTAACCGAACCACTTAATTAGACACGCATCCTACCTATGTAATCTTCAGGGCTTTCACAGCTGATGAGCACCTCACGTGTCAACTGTTTTGCCTTTTCGTCCATCTTCAGTTCGATGTAGCAACAGGCTTCCGTCAAGTTAGCACTGGCAATCACTATTCTGTAGAACAGAAAGACTAATATGTCACACGTATTTTCCATTTTTAGCCTCCACGACTACCACTTTTAAACTCACTGGATTAACAAGGAATTATTTAGTGAACTGTTTTTTATTCTCGAATTGATGTCGAAATGATTTTCCATGGAGCTAAGACATTTGATCCAGTTATTGTTTTTATCGTTCATTAATTTTACAAATTAAGTCTTCTCTAGTCGTCTCTAATTAAAAATATTCAAATTCGTAGTCAATTTGATGGTTTACATAGAGGCGAAGCTATGCTTCTTAAACACAAGCGAGGAAAATGCAAAAAGAGCTTTAAAAAGGCAAAACAAAACAAAATAAGAAAAAGATTAGAAATACACGTTGAAAAAAAATTGTTGAGATTAGGAGTATCACATTCTCAAATCTTCTCCACGCCCACTAGTATTTTTACCAACACTAGCCACCAATAAAGCAGCTACAGTTTCTACCAAATTTCCATTTTCATGCAGCAAACATTCGACAAATAAAACTACTTAAATGGTCCAAGTTAGAAAATCCATCCTGTTGATTAGGAGTCTCACGTCCAGGCATCTGCGCCACGGTTGTTTTCACGGGAATTTTCAAGATTTCAAAATACACTAATTAACATAGCCATCTGACAGTTGGAAAAGAGTAATGAACGCACGGAAACTTAAAAAAAACTGACTTGTTTTATGAAAAACCTTCAACTTTTGAAATTCGAACAAAAAAGTAGATGGCTTAAAGCTCTTTGAATTTGTAGAACAATTTATGAGACATTTTTTGATGAAATTAACCCAATTTGAAAAACTTTATTTCGCTGGGAAATCTGATAATTAACTTCGATTTTCGAAACTAGAAGTCAATTTCGTTTTTCGTAACCTTTGCATTTTTGCTGTCCCATAGTGGAGTTTGCCTTCCTTTTAACAAAAGAAATGAAGAGAACTCAAAAAATCAAAAGGCAAACCGCGGAAAATCAACAGTGAGCGTGAACAAATTTTAAGACTTTCCTGAAAAAAAATCACCAAGACCTATATATGAGTACTCACCTTTTTCATTGCTTTTAATGACCAACGGTTTGATGTGGAATATAATTAAAAAAGCCTATTGGACGAGACAACAAAATCTCTGGACTTTCTTTTATATAGTTTTAAACTCACCTCACCTTTTGAGATTCGGGACTCTGCGCTTGAGACTTTCAATTTCTTCGATGCACTTTTTAAACTCGTTTCTCGCAAAAGCGGCATTCGCTCTGTGCATGAGATGTGTGATCAAAGTATCCGAATTATTGTCTGCATTCGGGTCAAATCTGACTGGGTCGTCTTCGGCTTCGAACCAGAACCCGAAATGCTCTGTAGGGTCGAATAATTGATTTGTATTTTGAACAGTCCTTGCTCGCTTCTCTTCCTGGGGATACAGATCTGTGTCAATACTGAATAAACCATTATCACCTTCCCACTCTTCCATCTTAAACCTTGAAATGAAAACTGCAGCATTCCAACTTTAAACAGTCGCTCCCTTTTCGTCACATTCATCCCAAAAAGGACAACTTCGCATTGTTTTAAAATACTCGAAAATTCATAAAACTTCGAAAATTCTCAATTCAAAAGCTGTTTAAAATTTCGAGCCCTTTTAACTATTAGTACTGTCATTATTAACAACTCATGAGCAACAAATAAATATGACCGATTATTTTTTGTCGCAGGCAATCGTGTAATTTTATGCTCAAGCCTTTTCAGTCGTACTTCGAACTCTAGAAAGATTTTAGCCAAATTCTGTGTTGTATTATTATTGCTATTCAGATCATGTCAGCACTGGAGAGGTGCATGTCACCTCAAATTTGAGTGCATTTTGGAAATTGGAGAGTGCATTTTAACTACCTTCTAGCAAATGATCAATTGAACTCAAAATGTGCATTGATACTAAAAGGCATTCATATGTGCATTTATAAGTATGAATGCACTTTCTTTTGGTTTTAGAGCACTTCAAGACTTTTCCTGAAAAAAAACAATCACGACCTATAAAAGATTCTGAACTGCGGTCATTGACTCTTATTAAGCAGACAAACAATAGTCAGACAATATTTGTTGTTACGCGGAAAACTTTTCGTCTGCAAAAAAACAGGTCTTGACGGGATTCGCATCCAAGGTCGTTGTCCCAAGCATGAAAGCTACATTCTACGCTAAACAGACCAAATTAATACCAAGAGCTTGATAAACCAATCAATTAAGCTGACCAAATGATTCAGTGATTTTGTTTCAAACTTGTTAGCCCGAAAAAAGTCGATATTACGCATTGGTTTGCCAGAGATTGGTATGCACCGTTTGAATTTCATCATCACGATCATAATTCTAGATAAGCTTAAAAAAGATAGAAAAGTGACTTTTAAGAGCTACACCGATCCTTCTCATTGAAGATAATGAAAAAAGGTTCATCAATGAGAAGTTCTCAATGCAGTTATCCAACAAAGCAAGTAGTAAGACTTGATAATCATCAAAGCAAACAGATTTTTAGCGGAGTTCGTTTTTTCTTTGATTGCTTGGCTTTCAGAAGTCCTCGTTTTGGAGCATTTCGCACACTTAACAAAGGCAACATCTTCATCTGAGACCTTTCTCACAACTTAATAGTAAAGAAAGTGTGCATTTCTGATTTTCAATTTCGTAAATAAAAACACCACTGGGGGATCAAATAAAACAAAAATACATCTCAATCTTAACTTCACTGTCTCTAATTACACGGCCAGACCTTTAAGTATAACAGTTATTTTTTCTTCTTCTTGATTTTGTGTGCCGGCAAAGGACAATCCAGCTTCCCTCTGATGACTGAACAGTACACGTAGGGAACATCCTGAGGCCCTCCTCCCTGGATAAGAACCACGTTGTGCTCTTGAAGACTGTGACCGATTCCTGTAACAAAAGAGGTGAGCGGTGATTAAGAGGCTAAAATCTCCTGCTCTCAGTCGAAAGGTCGGTGGTTCGAGGCCCTCATGATACTTTGGCTAGTGAAAAGCAACAATTCCCAGCTAAGAAAATTAACCAAAATACAAAACATGCATAAACGCGTAATTTGACCTGTTCTCTTTGGAAAATGATTTCAAAAAAACTTCATTTCCAAGATCAAACAGAAACAATTAACTGATTTTTTTTGGAAGAAAATAAGAGAATTTAGGGATATATCAGTCTCTAAGTAGAATTAACAGGTGCTTGGAGTTTTGAAAATCGAAAATATCAAGGAATACTTGTGGACTCGCACATTTTGCATATTTCACAAGAAGCATGCAATGAAGATTTGTAAATTAGAAACTTGGCTCTGGATCCGTTTAAATTATCATCAACTGACCTGGTATGTAAGCATAAACGTGGCTTCCATCTGCGAGTCTCACGTATGCACACTTTCGATTGGCCGAATTGGGTTTCTGAAACATACATGTTAGGTAAGATTCAACTACCTTACTTTTCATTGGCTCACAGCTAATAAAAATTGCTAGTTTTTAGGGATGAAAACGCCTGCATGAAAGATGAAGACACAAAAAAATGAATTCGGAACAATTTCACCAATTCACAAATCCTACAGCAAGAAGTTGATCATCTCCACTAATAAACCTGTATTTCCTCTTGCTTTATTAATTAAACATAGCAAACAGACATTGGTCAAATGGAGAAGTCTCAACCCAAAAAGAAACGTTTCACTAATATTTTAAAATTTCAAAAAAAAACAGGGTTTCAAAGAAAAAACAGATCACCTCAAAGCTCCCTTCATTTAAAATAACTCAAGATCGACTTTTTTTCATAAAACTAACTCATTAGAGAAAACTGCTCATGTATTTTTTTTTATTCTGCAGGGAAATCTTTAAATAAATACCACTTTGTTCGTTATTGGAGATAGAAATTTGCCTTACTATTGACCAGCTAAATATTCGATACGAAAAAAGCAAAATCAGCCTAACCTTTGGTTTCTTGATCAGCAATTTGACTATGATTCCTTTCCTCTGTGGATTTCCCTTCATAGCATCGAACTTCTTGTGTCGCCTGTATACCGGCGGAAGTAGTGGCTTCTTGCTCACTGTGTTCAGAGTAGCCTTGGAGCAGATCTGAGTTAGATTAGGACGACGGAAGAACTGACTCGAAATCAAACCTGACAGACCAAAAATAGATGGCGAACTTTTCGTTGACTGGGCTGCATTTCCGATCACAGCTGAACCTGGAACAAAAGAAATCATTTACAACTACAATTCGGCCACTTTTTTCATACAAACAGCAAATTGAATGGAATGTTTTTGGTTTCGAACGATGAGATTTTTGATTCGTTTTTAAATATTTCATCATCTGAGATTAAAGCAACTGGACCCTTACGCTTTCGATCAAATTACACTACTGGATACTCACGCTGTTTATAACAATTTCTGATCAATGATGATAACATCTTCAATCATGTTTTAGGCATTGCTAACCTAAAAAAAAGAGTACAAGCATCAGATAAGGAAAAAATACAGAAAAATTGTCGGCTAGTCTGTGTTGCAGACTACGGTACATTGCTCTTTAGCCCTAAATTGTTTCATCGACTTCTTAAACCAGCTGTCACTTCGTTCAATTGATGTTTCTTAATCTGATTTGCACTTTAAGAACTATTTTTCAAAAGGATGAGGATTAATTATTACAAAAATTTTGAAACGGCATGGAAAATTATGACATGACGCTTTCGAAAGTTTTTTCTACAAATTTCGAGGAGTTGATTGACAGATACTCCAGCAATGCAATAAAGAAGAGCAATCAAAACTTTGATATAACATCACTGCCGTCCCGGATGTAAGACGTGACATTACTTTTTTTGTATTTATAGAAAGGTAGATTAGCTTACCACAGATTCACGTGCATCATAAGGCTCGCGGAAAATATCAGCCAAGCACGCATTTCTTCGGTTTTTGAGATTGGGCTTTTCGAAATTTCGACTTGACAAATAGACATACCATTATCGAGATCATTTTAACGTGTTGAAATTTCGGCTATTATCCACTTTTGTATTGGAAATTTTTTGAGACACTTGTGGATATTCCGAAATGACTTGTCTCGCACTGTTTTCAATATTGAGACTCATAATACCGACAATTTGGAAAGAAAGACGACTCGCAACAAAATACAACTCTCTCTTATTTTTTCATCTTCAAATATAACAAAACAAGACTGCTCGTACCAGGGCGAAGCCCTGATGTTCCGACTGCCTTTTAAGGTTTATGGAGTAGTAATAACATAAATATCATTAACAAACTAAATATAAAAAAAATGAAAATTTTTTTTTTCTAAAATTTGAAATTTTTTCCACGAAAATCATCCCCCCACACGCCATATAAACTACAAAAGATTAGATTTTGCTCCTTGTAACAAATAAATTATGGCAAATAAGCTTCTTTCAACCAATTTGGAACAATTTCTAGGACGGATTAAATCTCCGCTTACGCGTTAATAGCGCGAAATATATCTCGCGTTGATTGTCCCAAATTGGCCAAAATGGCAATCTTCAAACCCCCATAACTTTACAGGTGAAAAATGATCACAGGTGAAATATCTTTTCAAATTTAAGTGTTCAGGCACTGTTCTTTAAAATACAAGACAGCAATACCTTTTGAATGATATAAAAAAAATTCCGTCAAAAATGGCTAGTTAAAAAGTCGAAATTTGTCTGAAGAAAAAAAACCCACCCCGAGCACAAATATTCCGTTACTTTCGTATCGAAAGTCGGAACAATAAACAAGCAACAAGTACTGATTCAGGTGCATTATACCGCTCGTCCCTAAAGTAAGTGCAAGCAGTCGCTACTTACTAAGGCGGCATGTGATTAAATTCCAAACTTTGCGAGTTGTCGCTTTTTTGGAAGCGGTCTTTTTGCGAGTTGGTTTTGCTGCGAATTATCGCAGTACAGTTGAGACTGCTCTGTATATTCAGTAAGCAAACTTACCGAGCAAATCATACGACGATGAGCAGGGGAGATTTTAAGCAACACTTGCTATGCCAAAATAACGAAAAAAGAAATTTTAAAAATGACAAGTTGCAGTTGCAACAAAAACTGATTTCATTTCATTAAGCATGTTGTTAATCCGAAATTTCAACAGTTTCGATAACTAAGACAATCATAGTCTTTTCAGTCCATTTGAAGAGGTGTTTTCTGAACTATTTATCTCAAACTTGAGTACGCAAAGATGAATATAATGCAATCCCAACTTGCAATTCATAGCTGTCTTATCCTCAATAATTTCCAAATCATCTTTTCTAGTGGGAAGTTAAAATGAGTAGTTGATTTTTAAAATACAATTGAATCAGGACTGCACGCACTCTTAAATTGTTTTGACAGCGCAGATGCTTCAAGACACAGAGGCTAAGCTTCGCTTCTTAAACACTAGCGAAAACACGACAAAAAGCAGCTCTATAAAAAGCAATAAGAAAAATTAGAAATCAACCTCGAATTAGAAAAATTCGGCTAGGTGTCGGAATCGATGTGCTACCTAGAGATAATGAAACTCACGCATTAACCACTCAGCCACGGACGCTTAATAAACCACAAACACCAGCCAAAAATAAAGCAGATAATAGAAGCTATAAAATTGCCACTACTACAGATCGTAACTAAAGCAAAAAAGCCACCAAATAAGTGAGTTAGGTTAGAAAAAAGAAGGTTCGTACTGATGCACTACGCTGATAGCTAGTGTAATTATCGCAATTCGTTATATATCATTGGCACTGTTCTTATAAAAATAATCCACATTGGTGAAAACTCGACCAACAGATAAAACTTCATTCCACTGGTAAATTTGAAAAAATATGACTCCACTTTCGGAATTGGAAGCCGAGCACGTTCTTCGAGACCCATTACACTTATTATGTTCGATAATGGAGTTTAACTTACGTTAAAAGGAAATAAGCTGAACTTAAAAAGAAATCCAAAGGTCAAACCACGAAAAGGTAATTTGATCTACATAAGAGTCTTCACTAGCTATGTTCATTGAATCTTAAAATTGATGTGATTGACATTTCAAATGTCAAAAATATGGACACACAGAGGCAAAGCGGAGCTTCGCAACACATGCGATGCAAAAACACATAGCGCTACAAAATAGTGAATGAAAAAAAAAGAAGTCAAAAAGTTCTGAAAAATTATGTTGGAAAAGATTACTTGACAAAATATTAGAAAAGTTGGAAAATTACAACAACAAAAAGTTCATATTTGCATCAGATGAAAATCATAAACAGCCATTGAAAATTGAAATCATTTAAAGAGCGGCAACAAACTTTGGATCGAAACCTGTTAAGCCGAAAGCAAAACTGTTGTCATAAATATTTCAAAAATTTCAAAGTTTTTACAGCCTATCCAAACTGAAACACATAATCTCAAACGAATTTACTCTTCCCTCAAATTTACGCAAAATAAATTGACTGGTTCTATATAATATAAAATGAATGAAACTAGTTGAATAATAAAAAAAAACGAAAATAATGAAGACAAAAAACTCAAAATCAGACATGGTAAATTAACTAACTTGCGAAGTTTCAGTAATAGTTAAGACTGTTTAAACTCGAAAAAAAACCCATGTTTTAAAAAACGAATCAAAACCCTACTAGATAAAAAAATGGAGTTAGAAAAAAACGGAAAATGAACCGACAGAAACTAGGACGAAAACCAGGAACCAAAAAAAGATTTAAAAAAAAAAAAGATAAATACAACCTGAAACGGGCTTGAACAAATTACTACCTAAGTGATAGTACTTTTATTTGAATTTTCAAGAGATTGAGCATGTCAGATGAAAGATCCTTTAGAAGTGAAGATCTTGTGGACAAAGTTGTTTACGGGGGAAAAAAGTCTAGTACCCGATTGCAATACCCTTGTTTATCGCATGGGTTATAAGCTCTAAAAATGTCACCTCTCTATTCGGCAGACAGGCCTTTGCGATGAGACTCGTGATACCAACAAACATCTATTCAGCTGAGGAGCTTAAAAAGAAACAAGTATTAAGTATGAATATTGAATTTTTGTGATTAACTAATTACAATTGCAATATAGTCTGTAGCTATGCTAATTACTTGAGGTGATCAAAGAATAAATAAATTTGCTTCCTTCAGGACAGAAAAATCATGCTCTTCCACAGGCAGGCAAAACGGACTGTAACTTAACCCAAGTATAGTAAAAAAGTTTTGCATGGCAATTTACACATATAATTCTAATATTCAACCAAAACAGTTCATAAGAAAGGACAAATCTGCGAAATGAAGCGGCTTCAGTTCAAAAAAATACAACATTTGTAATATTGCAGATTCTTTGAATACAATTCACTACAACGATATTTTACTACTGGTTCAAAAAATACTTTAACTATTAAACTCGATATACAACATACGCGGCCAACTGAATTGCATGAACTATGCTTATAGAGCACTGCACAAAGATTCCAAACAAAAAAAATCAAATATAATCTTCAAAGAATTTTCGATTAAAGGAAAAACTTCTCGATTTTCGTTGCTATTTTTGTGTCCTCGCTTCATTCACTGGGCCTCTCATGGTATTGATTTTTAGGCAAACGATTCGGGCTTTCATCATATATTACGTAATCATCAGATGTAAGGTGATGAAATGTAATGGTCACATGACTCATAGCAGATATTGCGTGATGGGAGTTGCACAGTTGGTCAATTTGCGCAGTTTGACTGCTCCGTCCGACCCACAGGACAACATGTGGTCTCCACTTGACAAAATCTGCAGATCGAGCACTCCCCTCGGTCCCGTCTTGAACAGTCCGTCTTTGCGCTTGTGCTCACCTTCACTGTGGAACACGACATTCGAGGAACTCAAGTCGAACACCTGCAACAGAACAGGGCGGATGAATAACATATAGAAAAAACAATGATAGCTGGTTGCTCTGCAAGCAGCACACAATCTTACCACCAGTTATTACTGCAAAAAAAAATAAAACATAACAATAAGTAACCAACAGACAGTTAGAAAGTTTGAACCAATGCAAGGAAACAGGAAAAAGGAATATTGTTTCCTATTTTTTTTTTCAAGTTTTCAGACTGTAACTAAAAAGTATACCAGAAAGCGCTTTGATTTGAAAATTTTTATGATTTAAATTTTTAGGTAAGTCTAAAGTAAACCAATACCAAACAGAATCAATAATGTTTTAATTTTCTTCATTCGGCAGGGAAAACCAAAAAGATACAACACAAGCATAGCATTGCATTTAACCAACAAAAAATCAGCCGCCAGTCAAATTTTAAAAAAGATGAGAAAAATCTACTAACAAATGAGACAACATGAGGCTACTAAGCCGATATAAGAACAGCCAAAACCTTTTGAGTCTAATAAATTTTTAGATAAAAAAAGGGAAATTAATCGAAAACAGAGCAGGTAACTGGTACAACTAGGATAATACAATAAGCAAACGTAATAAAATGATCAAACAAACTAAAATATGTGTGACACAATAGCGCCATATTCTGGTTGCCAAATATTTCCAGAGTCTTCTCCTTTGGTATTGTCAGCTATTTCTGGTTGACCGACCTTTTTCCAACTAACTTTTCCCACTAATTTTGAGTGACAGCTCCAAAAATACGCTATTTCTAGTATTTTTCTTAATTTACCAATTGCTCAGAAAATGTCAGAAAAATAAACGTCTTTATGTTTTGAGAGCGGTTGGAAGTTCAATTTAATTGACTTGAGCAATAAAGGTCGACTACAATTGGGTTTTTTAAAAATCTGTTTCTACCCCTTTATGGATATCTAGCTCCATCCCTGATGACAAGTCTGTCGTCTAATGAAAACAGAAAATGAAATTATTGAAATAGCATGGAGTTAACATAATGTTCTGAAAATTTTAAAACGATATGTTTGACCTGTTCTGGCAAAAAATGACTTGGCTCTAAAACAAAATTGACTGGTGCAAAGTTAAAATAATGACAGCAGTTAATAAATAGGAAATACCTTAATGTCTCCGTCTCTGGACCCGGCAGCCAGCAGATTTCCAAGAGGATCCAGAGCCAGACACTTGACTTGGGATTGACTATGAGTGAATGCAGGCAGAGAGGCCTGGATGCGGCGCTGTCTGGTGTCATACAGAAGCACTTCGCCCTTCCCAGTTCCCGCTATTATTGCCCTTGTGGAGGCACTGTAGGTCACGCTGCAGAAACTGTCAGAGGAACTGGAGCCTCCTTGGTATACTACAAAACAGATGTTCTTTTTAAATATGTAAGTTGGATTAGTGAGCTCGATTCTTATACGAATTTATTGCTCCGACTTGCGAAGATAGCGACGGATTATTCATGCTTGGGGTAGCCTTTTTATCAGTCAATTCTCGACTTTAAAACTGCGCGTTTTTGACGGAATTTTAAATATAATCTTGAACATATTGTTGCCTGGACCTCATGTAAAAATTTCACCTGTGATCATTTTTTAAACTAAACTAAGGGGGGTTTGATAATTGCTCATTTAGCCAATTTGGGATAACTAACGAGCGATAGATTGCGTTCGTATAAAACAAGTAAGCGTCTGGATAAATCTTTTCAAATAGAATTGAGGCAAGGGATTTCATCTTTTCTATGTTTGTATATACCTCATTGCATTCATTTAAATAAGTATGAACGCACTCACATATATGAAATTTACCATTCGAAAACTAAGCCAACAAAACTTCAGTCGCAAAACCTCGAGTCCGAAAAACCATCGTCATGCAAAACAAAATGATTTCAAAATTTGATCGTTATATATACGCTGCTTGGAAGCCTAGATCTAAAATTTCATAGAAATTAAATTAATTAAAAAAAACTGATTGAGCTCAGAGGTAAAGACTTTGAGACAGTGACCAATTATCCGAAAAAAGAACAGCCTTAAAAATAAAATCATACATAGGAACAAATTTATTTATCAGGGAAAAGGAATAAAACTTATCTACGGGAAAAAGTATTGTACCCGATTGCAATACCCTTGCTTATCACAAGGGTTTAAAAAAACACGGAATCATGGCGATGGGGTCATTTGGCACAAAAGTGAAACTGCAGCTGCCTATACACAAGCGAGAAAGCGACTTAAGACTCGGATAGAGCTTTAAAAGCACAAAACTTACATTTAATAAATTGGACTGTTATAATCTAAAGGCAACCACACAACTTCGCATGCAATAAAATATATTTTTTCGCGAAATATACTGAGTTGTAAAATTTCTGAATATTTTTACACTAAGTCGAAGCGGAGCTTCGCATCACTTGAAATAAAATAGAAGAAAAAAAACTTTCAAATAAATCGTTTTTTTTTTGTCAAAAAAGAATTAACTTCTGTTTACTTTTGCAGTAAAAATTGCAAAAAGGACAAAAATTCCTGTAATAAAATTACCTGCACAACTGGAAACTTTACAAAGAGCTTTCAAAATGCTAAAAAAGGAACCGAACCTCTCTGCGGAACCTAAGCCGACAACAATTAACAGACACGAAAGATTAAAATATTCGAAAATTTTCAGTTTCCACAAAAAACAAGTATCGACTGGAATCGAACATCTAGCAATTGCCATCTCAGGTATGGGCATAACCATTGCACCAAATGAACAGAACGCTTCTTGAATTTACAGAGAAAACAACTTCCAAACACTTTTAATGAACAGCATGAAAAAAATGGCAAAAAACAGGCAAAACTTTTTGGAACTCAATTATTTGTCCAGAAACAAAACATGCTGAAATACTTTTTAATTTGACAAAAAATATTTAAAATGTTGGCAAATTTGGTGCTGCGGGAACTAAGCCGACAAAAAAGATGACAAAAGAGGCCCGAAAAAGATTTTTAGACGCGCGGACAATTTTTCGCTTAGACAGGTTCTGGCCGGATTTGAATCAATGATCTTCGTCCTTATAAGCAAGTGCATTCGCTCTTCGCCACATGGGCGAATTAACTTCTGTTTATTAATTTCATATGGACCAAAAGTAAAATGATACAAATGATTCTGTTAAAATAGTTGGTAACCCGAAAAAAGTCTACATACCGGTTTGATAACGCTTGTTAACCGCAAGCGTACTAATTGTACTGTTTTACGTATCAAAAAGGTTTTTTCGCTTCAAATGATGAATTAAAAAGCATCAACTGTGATACTTCATAACAAATCAAATGTCAATGTAAATGATATTATTATGCTAATGCAGCCAGCCTCTCATCGTATTATGCCTTTCAGAAGTGCCACCGAAAGTAGCACTTTTAATAGCGACTTGGATTCAAAAAAGTTGCATCGAAGTAAAACTTAGCTCATTACACAAGCAAATGCGTAAAGGAGGGAAATCTGACTTTCTGAGAAAAAATGATGGTTTAAGGCCTAAGGCTTCAGTGATTTCTTTCGTGTGACTAAGAATTGCACGACAAATCTTATTGCAACATCATAAAATTCGTCCGTTCGTAAGTTAGTTAATTAGTTAGTAAGTTAGTTAGTTAATTAGTTAGTGAGTTCATTAATTAATTAGTAAAATAGATAGATAGATAAATAAGATAGGTAGATTGACCGTAATTTGTTCAATCATAAAAAAAATCAAACATAGGCCAACATCGGTTGCAAAGTAAGCCAAAGCGCATTCTAACGGTAAATAAATTAGGGATAATTTTACGATTGCAAACTTAAAACAAACGGAGACCACAATTACCTGAGATGAGGTTGCTGTTCCTATGAGTAGGCATTAGACAGTCCCACATGCATATTGACGACATGGCCGCACTACTCGCTCCTGATCCGCCGAAAGAGAACCCACTTGGCCCTCCACTTGTACTGCTTGATGGGTTGTAGGCTCCCAGTCCGGTTCCTACTGTGGCTACCAGACTGGAACATCCGATAAAAGAGAAGCCAGCACATTGTTTAGTGTGGCACTCCAGCGACTGAAACAAAACAATATATCTTGAATCTCGTTTCTGGACAATTGTGTCCAAGACATTTATGTCCCGGACAAAACTGACCGAAATTCAAACTGACCAAAACTGACCGAAAAAAAATCCAATACATTTGGTTCCCATACATAATTGTCCCAAAATTATCCAACTACAGAAAACTGGATCAAGAGGCGAAGTTTTTATTCCGCTGGAAATCTAAAAATTATATTCCACTTTCGGAACTAGAAATCGTTCACGTTTTTTCGCGCAATTTCCACGTTCGTATTTGGAGAGTGCTATTTACGTCAATTAAAAAGTGCATATATACCTAACTGCATTCATAAATGCATCAATATGTATGAATGCACATCTGTAGTTATTAAAGACTTCTAAGACTTTTCCTGAAACAAAAATAAAAAAAATCAGCAAGACATATAAGAGTCTTCACTACGTTCATTACTCTTAAACAAAAATCACGAACAAAAAAATTAGGAAATTAGGACTCAAGGTTCAACACAGAGGCGAAGCGGAGCTTTAATACAATACTTTAATAAAATAAAGCATTGTATTAAGAGATGTTGATTGGAAAAGAAATATTTGAAAAATTAAGGCGAAAAAACTTGGGTCAACACTCTTTAAGCCGAAAACGAATATGTAGTCAAAAAAATTCAAGCTTCAAAGTATTTTAAATCAAAGACTTTACGATCCATCCCTCCCGAAACGTGCTCAAAACATTAAGTTTGCCCGAGAAACTAAGATAAAACCCTTGATATCAGATTCGCCATTTTTTTTTCGAGAAAAGTCAGAGAACGTTTCAAAAAACGGACAAGAAATCAAAATATTGACTTTTCTGAGGGCCATTACTTCAAAAGTAGTATATATTGACTCCCATAGAAAAAATTTTAGGGTTGGTCGGCCTAGAAATTCAAAGAAAATTGTATACGCAAGTTATAAACGCAAACTGAACACAAAAACTTGACACAAAAAATTAGCACAGAACTTTTGACTTTCGTCGATTATTTTACTCCTATTTAGCACAAGCATTGCTTGCGTAATCAATCTAACCCATTACTTTGAAGTTTCAGCAGACAACTACCTTTCCAACGTCCCACTCTTATTACATCAACTTGAACGTTATAGATAATCATTTGCTTCTGAAAATCTTGATCAAAAATACTTGAGATTTTAAGTAATGCACATGCCAAACACCATTAAAGTCGAACGATATAAAAAAAACCTTTTGTTTTCACTGTGACGGGGGGATGATTGAAACGGACCCAATAGTTCTCTTCTTTACTTACCAAAAACGGTCTCTGGAAGGACTGCTGTAGGCCTCCGTAGGACGTGTGATACAAATGCAGGTTCCCAGATTCATCGCACACCCCCAGCTGAAATGAGGGAAAGTCAATATTTATAATTGTTATGAAATTGAATTCAACGTATAGTGACCTGGTTGGCGTTTTTCACACATTAAATAAATCGGCAATGAAAGGTATTAACTCTTGAGAGAACGGTGAGTGGTGGACTTAGATGCCTTCAGGCGTCCCCGAATAGTCTTCCAGTATTTGACTTAGAGATTGATTGTTTTGGGTTATTCAAAAAATATGATACTCGAGCAAACAATAAAAATGTTTTTCGACAATTTGATGCAACTAACCTTCCGTCCATCTGCATTGAAGTTTAGTCCAGTTATTTTGCTGTTGGATGTCTTGAACATGGCCACTACCTCTTCATGGCCCCACTCCCACAAATTCAGCTTACCATAAGAGCAGCCACTCAAATAGAACGGCAGATAGGGGTGACAACACAATTTGCGCACATTGGTTGCATAGCTTCGTTTCAAAGAGTTTCCCTTCCGATGCGAGAATAGTCCGATGCTATTGGAATAACCACCGGCCATAGAAGACTGATCGGAAAGGTCTGATGAGCCTCTGTTGTAGTTCTGCTGGCTGCCTTTAGTTTTACCCAACATCGCCAACGTGCTGCCACTTGAGGGCGCCGGTGGACATACGATATTCGTGATGTCATTTTCGGTGATATCTTTTTGAGTGGCGACTACAAGACAATGTATAGAATGAGATAATGTAAGTGGAATGTTATTGAAGCACAGTGCACTGATTGTCTCGTTTGAAACATCTCTGTAAACCACGGCTACTGGATTTACTGGTATTTCAAATTGGTCCCACGTGCGAGTGTTTGGGGAGTCGAAACCCTTTGTAAGATTTCGAGAGGGAATCGTAAGTTGATTGCCGTGCAACTGTTCTCCGCTTTTCGCAAAACAGTAATGGAAAAATAGGTTTTCCAGCCTTTTTTGTCGCACAAGATAGCACCAAAGTCTCTTCACTGGTTGTACGGAAAGGCTGTTTGATCTAAACCCACAATTCAGAGGAAATAAAAACAGAAACAAGACTGCTGGTATCAGTGTGAAGCCTCTTGTTTTGGACTGCCTTTTACAGTCCATCAAGTAGTTTTTGGTTGAAAAACTCACATTTAACGCGCAAAAAGTTTTCTGTTGAGTTTTTTTCAAGGTGAGATTGCCCCTTCCCGCTCGCCATTTAAAGCCTTCCTATAGCAAGCGGCTCCGAGACAACCTCATTTAGCAGAGGCAAAGCTTCGCTCCGGAAACACTGCGAGATAATGATAAAAAGCAGCTCTATAAAGTGTAAGAAGAAAATGTAGAAATAAGCCTCGAATTATTAAAAACTCGGCTATGTCTCGGATTTGATACTAACCACTCAGTCACGGACGCCTAATAAATTACAAACACTAGCCACAAAAATAACAGATGCTATGAAACTTCCAATGGTTCAGGTCGTGATTATTGCTCAAGTGTTACCAAATAAAGGAATACTTGAGTTAAAAAAGAGTTGAGTTAAAAATAAAAGGTTGGTACTAATTAATACACTTCACTCGCAAGCGAAAAACTCAACTATCTGTATTATAAATACTAATTTTTAATCTATAATGCCTCAGCTCATAATCGACACTTCGTAAGGCTCATTTTTTCACCCGCAACTGTGATTCGACTGATCCTAATATTTTGTTATATTTTTTCCGCTCTGTTGCATCCTCAATGTTAATTTATCACACCCTAAATACTAGTTTTAAATCGGTAGCTGAATCTCGTTCTGCTGTTATCATAAATGCAATCATATAGATTCAATTGAAAATAAAAAACAATTACATAAAAAATGACTTTGATCAAACTAACGAGGATAACGGGTTACTGTGCAAGTACCACAGAATACTCCGACTACGCTGATTCCAAAAAAAAAATTAAAACAAAAATTTAAAACAACTGAAAATGTTTTTTTTTTCAATTATTGTCCTAAATTTTCTTGAAAAATGCGATTGAATTAGGTTGAAAATGAATATATGAATTCAGTAGCCAATGAAATGTTTAAGTTAAGGTAGAATCAATTTAGGGGTCACCTTTACACGTTTTTACACAGAGGCAAAGCATCGCTTCGCACACACTACCGAGAACACAAAAAGCTCTAGAAATAGCAATAAGAAAAATAAAAATAAGCCTCGAATTCGCAAAAATTCGGCTAGGTCTAGAATTCGATCTGCGACCTAATGCATTCTAGAGTTTTTGAGTCTCACGCTCTAACCACTCAGCCACGCACTCCTAACCACCGACAAATACTAGTCACGAATAAAGCAGCTACATATGCTAATATATTGCCAATGCCAGCCATTCAGCATAAGTGGCACCAAATATAAATACACAAAAATTTGCAAGTAAAAATTTGGAAAATAACAAACTGAAGGCATCCACACTAACTTTGCAGATGAAAAATCGCAAAGCATAAAGCCACATTATGCATTAATTATGCACTTCAAAAATCGAGTTTTCATTATTGTTATGTTGTTCGAAACAAATCACCTTCGGTTCATTTGATGAATTAAAAATGCATCAACTGTGTTACTTTATTACTATTCGAACGTCAAAGTACGTGCTATCAAAAAGCGGTAAAGGAGCAAAAAAGAAGCACCAATATTTGCGACTTAGGTTAGAAAAAAAGTAGGTTCGTAATAACATACTAAGCTAACGCTAGTGTAAACAATCTGAAAAACAAAATCAAATTGAAATATATTTTTTATTTATATTTTTCTCAGCTTAGTTTTCTCTTTCAAATAATTGGAAAAGTAATCGGAATTTTTCAAAAAAAGCTGAAGAAGAACCTTATTTGAAAGGAAAAACCTGATATGTTCCAACAACAGTCTTAAAAAATACAACAAAAAAGTTTCTTGAACTTAGAGTCGTTATTTGTGTGGCGCGACGAAAAGATCTGAACGCAAAATTGGAGCTTAAGCATATTCGACAGCCATATTCGACAGCCATATTCGACAGCAAATTGAAAAAAATTTCTTCAGAAAAAACCTAGAACAACAAAAAAATGAAAAAAGCAAAAAAAAATTCTTCATTTTTTTTGCTGAAAATTTTCATGATGTTTGAAGCTTTTGATTCTCAAAATGGCGTTAAAACCTCCAAAAAATTATTCATTTTTGCTGAAATTTTTTTTTGATGTTTGAAGCTTTTGATTCTCAAAATGGCGTTCAAAATTATTCAATTTGGATAAAACCAACATTAGGAACAATTAAAATATTGCAAACGGCTGAAATTAAGCATAAATAAGTCTGCTTGCAATTTTATCAAAAATTAAACATTTCAAATGGGACACTAACCAAAAGAGAACCTTACTATAAATACCCTGTGAAAAGTGAAATAAAAATCTTTTAGTATCTGTGTCTAGGCATTTTTCACCTATAAAATTGATGAAAATCACTTTGAATACCATCATAATTGAATTGAAAAACTATCAGACATAGCCAAATGACAGTTGGAAAAGAGTAATGAACGCAAGGAAAATAAACAAAAAAACTGACTTGTTTTTTTCTTCAAAAACGTCAACTTTTGAATTTAGAAAAAATAGATGGCCTTAAAGCTCTTTGAATTTCTAGAAAAATTTATGATACACACTTTTTTGTTGAAACTAACCCAATTTGAAAAAACTGGATCAATAGGAAAAAGTTTTATTTCGCTGGGAAATCTGATAATTAATTTCAATTTCTGAAATTAGAAGTCGATCACGCTTATCGTGACCCTTGCACTTTTGCTGTTCGATAGTGTAGTTTGCTTCCTTTTAACAATGGAAATGCACTGAACTTTAAAAGAAATCACAAGTCAAACCGCGAAAAACCAAAATTGAGCGTGAACAAATTTTAAGACTTTCCAGGAAAAAAATCTGCAAGACCTATAAAAGAGTACTCACTACGTTAACTACTCTTAAAAATTGAAGAAGAAAATCATCTTTTCCGTTCATTGTTGGCACAAAGGGACTAGCAGGTCAAAATCTTATCCCATTGGGAGGCTGGCTTTTTTTTTCTTGTGTCGGGTTTCTTTTGAGGAGAGAAAACCACAAGCATCTTCAAAAACCATTCCGGCGTGCCTTTTCCCGCTTCATTTTAAAAAAAATTACGAGTGGAAGATTATTCTTGAGTAACTAATAAAAACTCAAAGCAACTTTTTATTAAGAAAAATCTTAGTTAATTTGTCTTTTTTGTTAATTACACAATAAACGAAAGAACCTATAAAAGCTGATAGCAAACAGCTGCACTTTTCTAGTAAAAAAATCAAAAATAACCATATATTTCACGCAGAGGCAAAGCGGAGCTGCATCAAGGGACTTCGTCTTGTATAATGGATGCGGATTTCAGCCGGCAGCAAAGGAAGGCAAGCTTTAACCTTCATGCACATACCTGAACGGCGTCGCATCCGGGTGGAACAGATCATTGGCTGTGGGCCTCGCGGATGCTCTCACTTGATGCACACCTCGGATGGAGCTTGTGCTTAGACTAGCAGTACCCGCCACACTCGAAGCCACGTCACTTGCCGCCCCTTTTCCGAAACCATACGAAGAAGAATCGGCCCTTGAAATGAAGTTGTCCGGAGGTCCATTTGCAGCCATTAGACTCAACTGGGTGTGTGCCACATTCTGCCATTGGGTGATGGTGTTGCGCAGGTTCTGAAGGGTGGGGGAATGGAGCGCCAGTTCGCTTAGCTCCAGACCCATCTCCAAAATGAAGCTGTTCAAAGTGTCCAACACTGACGTGATGATGGCGAAGCGCATTATGCACCAGCTGAAACGATGAAATGTCTAACAAAAATGAAAAGTTTCTGGCGATCAATACGGGCAACAATTGAATGACGGAGTCTCTCTCACATTCTCATACATACAAAACAGACAAAGCCCAGTAGTGTTTCTAACTGCCCGACGCTGTTTTCAAAATTGTATCCTATTTCACTACTACATGAACCGAACGTCTCTTATGCTGTAGTTGGTGCATCTTTGTTAGTTGCATGTAGACACTATTCAATTCTTTCGTTTGAATATTTTGACTTGTGATATCGTGGCGTTAAAGAGCAAAGCCAAAATATTCAAACGAAAGAATTTAAAAGTGTCTGTACATGCAACTAACAAATATGCACCAACAACAGCATAAGAGATGGGTTAATTACGGCCGCTCTACCTATAGCTGTTTGGATCCGAGTGTTCCACACTTTCCCTAGTGACTTCTTTCTGCGCTGTGTTCCTTCTGAATCCAAATCCATCGTCTTCCTCTTCACTTTCATCTGAACAGTATCCGTCGCCTTTGTATTCCCCAATCGTCCTGTTCATCATGTCTGCTTCTTCTTCATCTGACTCGTAACTCAAGAAGTCCATCGTGGAGGGCAGATTGGGCTGAATCACATCAGATTGACCATACCACATAATTACATCAATTATGTTGACAGCACGTTAAAGTTTCTCAATTAATACTGAGAATATGATTAATTTTAACATTCATGAAAGAAACTAGCGAAACTAGCGAGAGAAACAACCTTTGCTGACAGATCCATTCATTAAGACACATCAAGTGCCTTTTGGACTGTTCCCCTGGACTACTGAAATTTTGTATCTTCAATACTTTGTAACCTCAATCCTTTTTCGCATTTGATCAAAATTTTTGGTCATTGACCATTTCATGAATTTGCTATTGACAATCTTTTTTTTTAGTTGAAACAAACTTGTTGAAGAGTTGTCTAAGCGTGCAATCAAATAGCTTTGAAAGACCTTTATTTGACCATGAGAATAGTTATAATAATACATACGATTGTCAAAGCAAACTTATAAGATAGTTCACAACCATTTATTATCATCAAATTAGGAAAACGGGTGAACTATACGTGGTCAATTGATCCCGCCAGTGCCAATCTAATCAGTCAAACTAAAACACACCAACCTTCGATAAAATGAAGTCAAATATTGTCATGACAGGCGAAGAAAACGTTTCATATTGGTACTTGTTTTCTTCGTTCATGATCACCGGCGAAGGCGGACTGTCGTCATTCAAAGAGCCTCCCGCTTTTGCCAATATCTTCGCATTCAGACTGATTCGGTGTCTGTTTGCTGCCAAATGTGCCGCACTTTCTGCTTTAGAAGCTGTCGAGTTTTTCATCAAGTTGACAGCATCTTGAGGAGGTAGCATGACGTTGGACGCGTGGCTTCTTGTTCTGACACATCCGCCCGCAATGAACGCAAACATCTGACTAGAGACTGGGTTTGCGATCACTCTTAACAGCTCATTCGCATCATTTGTCACCAGAGCGTGAAATAAAATTCCAGTGTACACAACACAACAAGATTCCACAAGAAGAATTCTCAGTCTCGATTCGGACCCGGAATTGCGCAGATGCGCATAATCGGAGAGTAGCCTAATGAACAGTTTAACGCCGGGCCAGTCGGATGGTTTTGAAATTATATGACTGGCAAGTAAGTTCGAATCGTTTCTCGTTCGCCGCGAAGTCACCAGAACAGATGCCGCTCTTTCCTCCGAGTAGTTCCTAGCGTACAGCTCTCCCACTTTAGATGATTTCGGATCCGACAAAGCATGAGTTGGGTTAGAGGTTTGGGTATCTGGGGATTTTTTCGCACCTGTCATTGATACTTTGTTACTGTCTTGAAGACTTTGGTAAATGCACGAGGACAAGGCGCCACAGAGATTTCGTAATGTAATGGCAACCTATAAAAATTTCAATGCACATGGTGTGAAAAAGATTAGAAAATAATGCACCAGCGCAGAATGTTTCAGGCTCGTCGCTGCAAAGTCTCAAAAACACAGAGGCAAAGCCGAGCTTTTCACCTTTTGCGGAATTCAAATATATGCCAGCAAAGTGTAGAAAAAAATGACTACCACTAACGAAACTAGTGGAACAAATCCACTAACAATTTTCGCGCCAATTCCATTTCGTAAAAGGAAAGCGCAAATTTCTACCTTATAGCAAATGACTTTCAAGGGTACTGAAACATAGCCAACATACAGATGGAAAAGAGTCACTGGACACAAAGAAACGTTAAAAAATCTGACTTGTTCTTTGAAAAAATTTCATCCTTCGCTTTTCAAAGAAAAAAATATGGTCTTTAAAATCTTTGATTTACAAGAATAACTAATTATCGGCACTATTCTGATTAAATAAACTCACATTGAGAAAACTGAAGTTTTGGGTAAAATTATTACTCCGCTGGGAAATCTAAAAATTAAATTTCACTTCTAAAACTAAAATCGAGCACATTTCCTTTCGTAATCGGAGAGGTAACTTTGCCTTCCTTTCAGCAATAGAACCTTAATTGAACTCAACAAAAGCCCATATACCAGAGTTCATTCATAAATGCATTGATATGTACGAATGCACTACTGTAAAATATAAGAGCATTTCCAGACTTTTCCTCAAAAAAATCATCACGACCTATATAAGAGTGAACTACACTCATCGACTCTTAAAACCTCAAAAGATGAAAATTGGCGTGATTAAAATTCCGCACCACTTGCCATACAATACAAAAAACGACAGTAGCTAGCTGAGTTGAAAAGAAATTGAGAAGCTATAGAAAAGATTTTTTACGTGTCTCCAATTCGGTTCAATTTGAGGAAAAGATGCTGAGAACCAAATTTGCAAATATTAAACACAGCGGCGAAGTGGAGCTTCGCAACACTTGCAATACAAAACATAGCCAATCGAATATTGGAAAAGGGTAAGAACGCAAGAAAACTGAAAAAAATTTCAAAGAAAAAAATAGATGCCCTTTAGGCTCTTTGAAGTTCTAGAACAATTTATGATTGGCGCTTTTTGAGAGTGCCATTGATTTAAACTTCAGCAGATGAATTTCAATTGAACTTAAAGAGTGAATATATACTTAAGTGCATTCATAAATGCATCCATATGTATGAATGCACAGCTGTAGTTATTAGAGACTTTTAAGACTTTTCCATGACTTTTCCTGACTACGTTCATTACTCTTGAAAACACATTGTGCTACAACATTGCGCTGCAAGATAGTGAATGGAAAAAATACAGAAGTGAAAAAGTCTCAAACAGTAAGTTGAAAAAAATTGCTTAAAAAATACCTTGAAAAATTACAGCTACAAAAACTTGATGTTTGTATCGAATGAAATTACAAACAGCCTTTTGAAAAAACGGAAATCAGTTAAACAAACTAGAAATCATTTCATGGAGTCTTTTAAAAAATTGGAAATCATTTACCGAGCGGCAACAAAGGCAACAGACTTTGGGACGAAACCGGTTGAGCCGAAAACAATACTGTTGTCATATAGAGTGCGTCCGCGCCCCTGCATCAGCCTAAACCATTTAAGACGCAGCTTGAACAAATTAAAAATGGCTTAGCCAACAGACAGTTGAAAAGAGTCATCGAACGCAAGGTAACAGAAAAAATACAGGCTTACTTTTTGAAAAAAGATATGGCCTTAAAGCCCTTTGAATTTACGAAAAATTTATGATTGACATTTTTGATATAATTAATTCAATTTGAAAAAAAAAAACGAAAAATGGTAAAGATTAGATTTTATCGTTTACTTTTTATCGAAAAGGGTTTATATTGGTGACAATTTTGCTTGTTGTATAAAAATGATGTACCTTGTACGAATCTGGACTCTGAGGCGGCGTGGTGTAACTAGTAAGTGTCTTGACTAGATCCTGACAGAACCTCTCCAGTGAGTTGAACGGATTAACGACGACTGTCTGCACGGGGGCTAGACATGCCGAAATCAAGGGCAGCGAGTTGGGAAAGGGAAGCGGCGAGAGGATCTGTTTCTTGGAGTAGTTCTGCTGCAACTCTTGCAGAAGCAAAATCAACTCCATCCTCACACACGAAAGTCCGCCTCCGTTACACCCAAACAAGGACGAGTAACCTAACAAGGTGTTCAAGAGAGATTCGTTATATTTCAGCCAAGCTTTTCTCTGAATCGCTTTTGCTAGCTTCTTTTCAACGTCTACTTGAAACAAAAAATTGGATTCACTGTCTGGCGAAAGGCAATCTTCAATAGCATTATTATCCAAGCATTCCTCGTTTATTTCAAGCTGAATGTCCGATTTCTGGTTGCACAATGAATCAAGCAAAGCTCCAATTTTTTCTAGCCACAGTCTAAAATATGCTCTTAAATGGCTCTCATCACAATCGATTGCCATCGCCAACGTTCTAAGCTCCTCGACAAATATTTTCAAGCATGCTTCTTGCTTGAGATAGATCGAATACAAATCGGTGCTTTGAACCTGTTCGATTATTTTAGCAGTAGTTTTTGCGGATTCAGATTGTGTCGTAAAAACAGAATCGGTTCCATTTTCGGTCGGCTTCGTGATCGTTGTTTCTTCTAAATCTTCGCCATCTATTCTCAAGACGTCGTCAAAATTGATATCAAAATTCGAGTCGAAACCTCCCCCCATGCCTCCACTGCCGTTAGACGTAGCAACAGGCGCTCCCCAATCAATCATTCCAGACTCAGGCGCAGACTTCTGAGAACCCGCTCCGAAACCCCAGTCGAAATCTTCCGCTCGTTCCAGTTTGGTTTCTTTCTGCTTTCCCTCTATCGTGCCTGACCTCAAGAGCGCCCGCTTTTTGTTAATTTGATTCACATCCAAAGACGCATTCAAATCAAGGTCATCTTTTCGGACAGGAGGTATAATGGTGAGAACTTCCAGAGCGAGCAGCGGGCACCCATTTGTGAAATGATCGGTGGCAGTCTTGAAGAACAGAAGCCTTTCCTCGCGACTAACTTCAATCAAACTTGTCGTCTTCTCTCCTTTCGTATCTTGGACACCTGTGTGTTGAGTCAGCAAGACAGACTGGCCGGCAACTGAGCGCTCATGAACCTGTTCAATTTTCAAAATATGTCTTCGTAAAATCATCGGGTGTTTTCGTAGGTAGTTGTAAAAATTGAATACTGATATATTTTGACTGGATTCACTTGTGCATGACTCTACGAGTGCACACAATGCACTGCTGTACTCTCTTAACCACCAGTGCGAAATACACTTCAAGAAAGGGTTCTTCGATTCTGGATTCTGTGCAGCGAACCCTTTGTTTGTGGGGTTAATTACATGCTGGCGCAAAATCTGTTTTGCACAGCTCGAAAATTCCAGCTCCTCTTCATGAAGTCTTGAAATCACAATTGCTAACTGGATATCTTCCAACTTTTTCACACATACTTGGACTGCGTCTTGAAGTTTGCCAGCCAATAGGAAAAAAGCAGCGGCATGTTCGAATCTTTGCTTCGAATTGAGCGCAAATGCGTTTTTCAACGCTACTCTTTTGTTATCATCTGTCGAGAAATCCTTGGAGAAAAAGTTGGTCATTTTTTCATCTCCCACACTTTTGAAAAGTCCTCTCAAAACGTGCTTCTTTTGCATGGCAATGTAGAATATTGCCGAGTCCATTGGATCTTTGTTGGCCTGGAATTGTTGCCTCGCTACTCTTTCGATCAGTAGCCGCAGAGTGTTCAAATTGGTAACCCACCATCCGACACCCATCTTCTTCAGCTCCTGCCATGTTGCGTTGTGTCGTAAGGCAGCGATCATTTGGTCCTCGCTTTCACTCAGATGAGCCCAGGCAAACAGCCCAGCATCCAAGGGCGGCGAAGAGAGAAGCGACTGCCCGGAGGCTTTTGTGATGAACTGGTGCAACTTCAGTCCCATAACGTAGCGCATTCCACAGTCATCGATTGTATCAGTTGTCATCGAGCTATCAGTGCCTGCAATTTTGAACATTAATCCATATCATGATGCAAAAACTTAAATGTTTACTAAATTTTATGTAGTATAAAATAACTTCTTTTAAATACAAACTTTAAGAAAACAAACCGTACAAAAACCCGCTAAAAACCTTCAGTAGGTCATTGCACCACCAAAACCCTCAAATAAAAGAAGTGAGTCAGAGGCGGATTAATTATGAATTTCATCTCTATTCTTACTACTCTCTCTACTAAATTCCTACGCCAGCTCAAAATGATTCTTGATTATCTAGAAGAGTAGGATCTAGAATTAAAATGTTCAATGGCAAGTCGGTTGAATAACCTTGAGCTTGAAGTGCCGAATCAGAGCTGATAGTGGAAACGACTTGAGCCACCGCCAGAAGTTGCATCTGATCTGCTCTGGACAGTTCCGGCAACTGGAGCTTCACCAGACACTGAGCAAGTAGCCTCGACTGGGCAGGTCCAAAATAAGTTGGGCCAATATTCGCCATAGCCGCAGCCACCGCTTCCAAGTTTGTTACGGCCATTGACTTGCGCCGTTTGGGTAGCCCATCCGTCTCCAGTGAAAAATCGAGGTCCACATTAAGAGCGGTATCAAACTCATCACTTTCATCAACTGAGGTCTCAAAGAGTGCGTCGTACTTATCGGCCTTCGCAGACCCGTTGGCTGAACTGTTATCAATATGTCCATTTGGACGATGATTTCGAGAGCTATCATCGGAGGCGGCAGTGTTAGTGGCGTGAATGGGTGGCGGTCCCTGTGCACAGCTCGATCGAATTGAATCCAATTGGATTAAAGTGTACAGCGGCAGTGGTGGAACTGTCTCGACGCTGCCACCGGACATATTCCACTCTCCTCCCCCTCCTCCTCGACTTCCGGATGTTCCTGGCCCAGCTCCAGGTGCTCCATTGTGAACTGTCATTGAGCGACTGAACGTGGCTCTTCGAGTTCGGATGGCGTCTGTTTTTTCCTCTTCTTCTAAATCTCCACACACTATTGCTTTGCCAACTGCTTCTTCGCCAACTGAAAGAGTAGCAATCACAAATAATTGGAGTTAATCGCATTACCTGTTTCAAAAAGAGAAAAGTTTTCGTTCACAATTTGTCCAAAAAAAAACAACAACATTGAACTATCTCATGAACAATGAAGGAACAAACCGAGTAATAATTGAGTACAAAATCAAATATAGCAGACTTGAAGTCCGATTGAAAAACTATTACCGCATTGCTTTAGTATGAACACTGACAGATCAGCATCAACTGCTAAAACAGTTTATAAAACTGCATTGCATTTGAAAGCTCAATTATGACTGGAAGAGTGAATTATTAGGATAGAGCGAATGCTAACCAAGAGTTTTGACTAGGTGGGCAAGAATGGCCTTGACTCTGGCCGTTTTTCCGAAGTTGAGCAGTCCGATTAGCAGCTTGGGATGGTACTGTGGTAGCACTGGATTCAGGGCACGACTCTTTTCAAATATTCCTGGGTCGATCAGAACTGCATCGTCGCATTTCGTTTCATTTTCGGATACTTTGGCGTCTGTTTCGTCTTGTTTCTGAAACATTGTTCAACATACACAATAAAGCGCCAAAAATCAAAAAAATATTGTGTCGCAAACAAGTGAAAAATTTGAATGAAATTTGTTGAAGAAATAGTAGGCTAAAAAATCAAAAACAAATTTATTACGATTTTTATAGAAGTCAACTTTAGGATTTGGTTTTAACTCAATCCATTTCTTTCTGATAACCGATAGCTTGAAACGATAAAACATTTCGGTCCGAAACTGAAGATACGAAAATTCTTAAATGTACTCAAAAACGATTCATTAAATCTTGCAACCAAACAACCTGCATATTCAACAGGAATAATCGGGGATTAAAAAACCCTATACGTTATGTGCTATAGTTTAAGATAAAAAAAAGAAAAAAATGCAAACAATTGTCACAAAAAAGAACTCGCAGAAAATCTTAAAAACCTCTGAAAGCCTATGAAAAAATCCAATTACATCAAGACTTATCAAATATGGAATTTATAATCAACGGTAAAAGAGCTGGATCACAACTTAGGCCAAAAAAATTCTGGAAATTTATCGACTTTTTTGACATATTGAAACAATACGTTAACCATCAACTTGATCCAATTTCAACTAAAATTACTCAAACCTATAACAAAACGAACTAACTAAAACAAAAGTAGTGCTTTTAGAACAAAAAACGCACTTTTAGAACAAAAAAAACTGGCAGCAATTGAAAGCTGGCAGCAAAGATCCATGGGATTGACCAGTTCCGATTCAAGAACGCACAACAGAAAATATCAACTATCAAAACTGTTAGTCAACTATGGCATTAGACCCCTCGCCGCACAGGGGATGTCCCTTCGGTTCTATATTCATGACCTCGATTTTAAGGCCGAGAAAAAACTCCTGGATGCGTTTTTGTGCATATTGTTTCAAACCTGGAAACAAATTCCTAGAAATGAGTATGTCAATAACCCAAACATCCATTGCTGTGTAAAATAAAACAACAGGCCAAACTAGAGCACGATTGATCGAAACATAAGGCAAAATAAAAAAAATTGATTTTAATTTACAAACCAAATCCACATTAAGATAGAGCCACTATGATACGATTTGGGATCAATTGATGAATCAAATTGACTACTGAACTGTCTCTATTCGGACATTTAAAAAAAAAATCAAGAAAAAATCGATAGCGAATCCAAAAAAATTTAAACTTAGCATCCATATATCAACACAAGGACTTCTTGAGCATTGGTCACGTGAATGATTTGTCCCATCGCGAACCAACTACATTAGAAACTAATTTCATGCACGCGAGCCACCTAGATTAGTCTCTCGCTCCTTTTCAAGTTACGATTGTTGTTCCGACCATTTGAGGAACTTTGTATTCGGGTGTAGTTTTTTTTTGTTTTTCCGCGCAAAATCAGGTACCACAAATAATCATCGGAATTTATCATATTAAAGCCCTTTCAGTCATGATTCAAACGACATTAAAATATTTTGAAAACTTTCTGTGTCGAGAAGAAGTTTGAAATTTAGATTTTTGGTCTAATTTCAAGCTACAAAGGTGAGGCTATGCAGGCTTACAAAAGCTTATTTATGCTTAATTTAAGCCGTGAAAAGTTAGTTTTAATCGAGTAAAGTTAATGGAGTTTCTCTGCGCTATTTTAGGAATATAAAACTTCTTAGGAATTTTTAAGTATCAAAAGTTCAGATTGCATGGTAGGCCCTCGGATAGCATGGCTATTCAATTTCAGTGATATGAGATTATGATCAATTGTGTCAACTCTTTTCATCACACCACACAGAAAAAATCACACTCATTTGAAAAGAAAAACTTTTTTTAAGACTATGGTCGAAACACTGTGCTACTTGCACAGCAACCGGCTATCCTTGTTACCTTAATGTTATTATCGTTGATAAAGGAGTTCACTGACAACGAGGACAGACTGCCTTTTATGGAAGCATTGGCACTTTGGATCGATCCTCTTATCCTTGAAGTCTCATCTAGCACACTCTTTTTTCTCTCCTGCGCAGCCTTCGGAGTATCTTCTTCCTGTGAGTTTGACAGTTGCTCCCGTTCTTCTATTGCTCTTTTTGATGTCCACTGACTGAAAATTTGCATTTCATTCATCAGTCCCAGAATAAGAATGCCATTTGCACAGCTCGACATCAACACTGGAAACGGCGAGAGTTCATCTGAGGTGCTGATATTAACATAGGCAATCGGAACCCATTTTCTATAACTACTCTTGCTCTTGATCACAGAAGCACTCTTCATTGCACCTGCGGCTGTGTTACTTTGAGTAGTTCCTGTGCTGCTTGTAAATGAGGAGTAAACTATTACTCTCGCTCCCGTACATACACACAGCAAATATGATCCGTCATATTTTGGAACCCACGAAACATGCACAAACTCTCGATCGCGTTTATCATTTTCCTGCAAATCAAGATAAACTTTCTGAATTTTACTTTCCGAACTTTTAGTAGCTTGCCTAGTTGTATGCATGCGCTCAGTTTTAGGGGAGCGCGTTTTTCTGTAGAATGAGGAAATTCTTCCTAATGGTTCAGTTTTTTGCTTTTGAGGTGGCAAATCATTTTCGTTTCCGTCTTTATACGAGCTACTGTTAGCTAGCAAGCTTCTTGATGTTCCAGCTTTCAAATCCGCAACACTAGTTCCATACGCCATATTAGGAGATTTCGCTTTCGGAGTTTCGATAGAATGTTCTAGAACCCAAGTAGCACCGCCTGAGCTTTCGTTTTCCAACACATCAACTTTTACAGACAAAAGTCCATTCGAAGGATCCTGAATTTTATACGCAAGAGCTATTCTTCCAAAATTAGCACATGTAACACTGACCGGAACTGCGTCTAATTTAACATTTGCTTCTTTGCTATTAGCAAACGATGGATTCCATTCGGTCCAGGAAAACTTGCCGTTTTTTCGACGACAGTTCCAAAAGAGGACTCTTTTATCATCTACAGCAGTTACTACTTGATATAAGTGTTCTTTCATCTGACCAGAACCATCAGTTGCTGAAGACAGCACTTTACTTACTGCTCCCAGCTCGGCAACCGATGCAGACTCAACATTTGCTGCTCCGATGTCCAAGTCCTGTGATCCCTCAAACGTCGAAGAAACTCGCACAAGATTCTGAATCGGGTTTGTCAGCAGCGTCGATTTGGTTTTGGCAGACATCATCAAGTCGTCTTCAAAAATGGGCATCGATTTGCTCGATCGGCTGGAGTGAGTAGTAGAGTCAAAAGGCTGGGGATCGGAGATGAATATTCTAATAACCCACGTGAAAAATTGCCAGCCGATGTTTTCGGCAGTTTCATGTGGTGATTTGGCAATGGCAACTAGCACAAATTTCTCGTCAAAATTGAACTCGTTGAAACCTGTTGAGTTAGATCGCGATGCTTTCCGAGATTGAGTCACAGAAACAAATTCTTCATATTTGAAAACGTGAAACAATTTGACAAAATAGTTTTTCAGAAACTCTGAGTGTTCTAATTGGTCCAGTTCTATTATGCATGCAGGTTGATTTGTACTTTGCTGGCTGACCACGTTTAGATTTGGAACAGCATTGGTAACTTTTTTCGATGTTCGTACAGGACTACCCTTTAGAACTGCTAATTTAGTCAGCAAAGGCTGTGCATCGATTATTGACTGATACACTCTCAAGCAGTTTCCGTCGAAGGCTACAAAACTGACGCTCGGTGACCTTGAGACAGGTCCTAAAACATGACTGGGAAGCAACGTTGGGATCCAAGAGGCTGTGCAGAACGCAGAGATAGAAGGACTTTGGACTCTAGCTAGCTCCAGCAGCCCTCCTGATTGCGACAGAGGACCAACGGGATCAACACGCCACAGAATCAGTTCACTACACAGACCATGCGGAGCGGACAGGTCTTCGGTTAAAACATCATTAGCTTCTCTGACCGACTCCTCCAGACTGCTTTCCATAAATGACATTTGCGACACTAGTCCTTTGCCCTTTCTGGACCGCTTGCCAGATGATTCTGTTGTTTTCTCCTTCAGATATGAATCGGTGATCATCATTTTGGGAACATTGTGATGAGACACTGTAATGAGGAGTGGTAGCGATGGGTGATTCTTCAGATCAACCATGTGGAACCGGTGCCCAGAAACACGGCAGAGATGGGACACAGTCTGCAATGAACTGTATTTGCTATTGGCGTCGAAACTCACCTCCCATTGGTTCAGAGATCCATCACTGTGTTTAGAAAGTATGACCACATTCGGAGCGAACAACCCACTAGCGAAGTTCTGATTGGTCAAAATGAAAGGATTACTCATTTGATGTTCAAACTTTAATTTCAAAAATTTTTCGATATCTTCTGACAAAGCCGCTCTGTACATTAGCAGATTGTTGGAGCACGAAATGGCGTCAGAGGCCGGAAACGCATTTGGAATCCTGGAGGCAAACGCGATCTGAGGATGTCTGTAGCTGCCTCCAGCAGAGTGTTCGTCTAAGGAGTCGATTTTCCACAGCAGAAGCGATCCGTCTATGGGGTGAATAGAAAAGACCATGTCGCAGCTGGTCTCCCACTCTTTCAACCAGTGTGGCAGAGAATTCTTCAGCACTTCAGAGAATCCTTCAACTGCAACTGGTTCCAGTCTGAGCGACTGGCTCTGTTGCTGCTTCTCGTTTCTTCCTGCAAAGTAAACAAATAAAACATTTCCAAACTAGACACGTTTAAGTTCTTTGGAGAAATAGGACGTGCTATCACATACACAAACAAAACCAGGTACCTTATTTGAATGCGATTATCAGAAATACGTAGAGGTTATTACACAACCAAACAATTTGATGATTCAGTTTAAAAAAGAGATCGCCAAAGAAGAAACATGCATGAGAGTGTGCAAAGAAAAAGACTACACCTTGTTATCAACACATGCAGAACAGCTGGTTAGTTGCCAAACGGTTCAATGTAAAATTTAGGAATAGTTTCCATCTCAAGTACCAGCACACGTTCACTTACCATCCAAAATATCGCCAAAAAGGGTGATGGCGATGCGAATCAACGATTTCCCACCAGTATCTTGAAATATTCACGATTAGCTAGCATAAGCAGCACAACACAAACATAGAAAAAAGACTGCTCGTATAAGGGCAAAGCCCTGAATGTTCCGACTGCCATTTAATTGGTCTCGAATAGTTTTCGGTTAATTAAGCATTGCAAAACTATGATATTTAGGGTGATCATAATAAAATCTAAGAGTTACAATTTGAGTCGTGTATGGAATTAATTAAACAAATTCGCAACCTCAATTCAATTTGGAACCATTTTGTTGTGCTGGATAAATCGCCACAAAAGTATCTTATATGAAACGAGCTATTTTTTACAGACTCGAGACAGGTTAATATACTGGTATTCACAACCGGATGCAGATCAAGAGATCGATCACCTGAAGGATCAGCGTTTTGTAAAATTGGTCTGAATTAAAAAAATACCCCGAGCATTTATATTCCTCACTTTCTTCAACAATCCAAAAATAACGTAGCCAACAGTTAGCTTGACCAAACTAAACTCAAAGCGGTCATGAAGCAACATGAAAGCGATTCTTTGTCATGCTTTATTTAAGAAGGTGGGAAACTGAGAAGGAATTAAAACTAAACTAAGATAGCTGGTTGCTTTACAAGTAGCACAAGAATCCGACCATATTCTTAAAATACTTTAAAAAAATTTTAAATTTTTTTTGTGCGTTGTGTGATGAAAGGATCTGGAAAAACGACTAGATTTTAGGCATTTCCGATATTCATAGTAAAAATGGCATGTTGGAAAACATTTTTTTTTGAAAAACGACTAAAAAAAAACGAAAAAAAAATAAATACACCGAATACAAAGTTCTTCCCCATATTTCGGGAATAATGATTGTTGAAGCAAAATTCAAATTCTGCGTTGAAGTAGAAAATTACAAAGCTTTTCGAAGTATGATTGACCCTTTATGATCATGCTAGACATATTTGAACACGACTATCCAAATAAGTGTCTTCACTTCGTTCAAAGACCTTAAGAATCGTATTTTTATTGAAAGATATCGCTAAAAAAACCATAGCGCACAGTCAAATAAAAAGTGTTATTGAATATATAGCCAACTGAGTTGGAAAAGAGATTCATTTTTCAAAAAAACGCAACTTTGGAATCTGAAACATAGTCCCTTAAAACTCTTTGAGTTTCTTGAACAATTTATTAAAGCGTTTTTGATAAAATTGACCCAACTTGAGAAAACTGGATCAAAAAGTAAAAGTTTTGTTTCGCTGGTGAATCTGACAATTAAATTCCATTTTCGAAATAAGAAGTCGATCACGTTTTTCGTGACCTTTACACTTTTACTGTTCGATCCTGGAGTTTACCTTCCTTCGAGCAAGGAAAGGAAATGACCTTAAAGGCCAACAAGGCTTTAAACACCATGAAAATAGTCAAAAATGTCAAAACTGATTTAACCATCTCTCAAAAAACCGATGAAAAAACATTTGAACTTTTTTGAAAAAACCTTCGAGAAAATAGTAGACCAGCGCCTCGTTGGAACATTCGGTGCAACTTTCTCATGCAGAGCATCCAAGAAGTACTCACGAATGAATTCATGCAAAGCTTGTTGAGTAAATTTTTCATTACATGCTGTACAACGCCTCCATTTTCAATATGCATCGCTGGCTCACTTACCCAATCCTTCATTTGCCACCCCCTCCGATACTTTATTGGGCGCCACTTCCTCCTCTTTAGTCAGATTGTCTACACTAGATACCAGTTCATCGTTGGCCGCCGAGACTGCCGATGACCTTCTCGATTTAGAACTGCTCGGAGTATTCGCTGCATCATTAATGTGGCTACCGCCGCTCTGAGTCTGTTGCTGTTTGAATTTACGGTGCAAGTATCGGAAAATGATCTCTGCTTGTAGATTGAAGTGGAATGCCTTGTTGTTCAACCAGTGGACTGCAAACTGAGAAGAGTCAGGAACTTCACCGTTTAAAACCGTTCCTACTGAGGAAGGGATGTCTGAAAACAAGAATTGAAAGCTAGGAACAGATAGTTGAAGTGTTAATCGCAAGCGTAATTATAACAATGCATAAAATTACACGCGGCATCGGCAAGTAGTGCAACCATCTCCGCTGCGCTGAAACTCGTGCGAGATGTTTAGTTAGCGTGTGCCGCTAATTTTATTGTTGTTTATGCATTTTAAAATGTAAGATTGACGGCTGTTCTTTCTGTCATTTCTGTACTAGCTAGCGCGTATCCATTCATCAGTCGGCTCGCAACAACTTGCTAACTAAGCTTGCAGTTGTTCTGAGCAAGCTATTCAAGCAATTAAGCTTTGACACAGAGGCGACGCTTCGCTTCGCAAACACTATCGAGAACACAAAAGGCAGCTTTATAAAGTGCAATAAAAAAAGTATAAATAAGCCTCGAATTAGCAAAAATTCTGCTAAGTCTGAGATGCGAACCAGCTCCCTTCAGATAAAGAGTCACATGCTCTAACCACTCAGCCACGGCAGCTTATTAGGAGTTGGAGGATAGAAGATTAAACATTAGGCACAAATGAAGCAGAAAACAGATGCTACGCAATTTTCAATGCTACAGTGAAATTTCCAAAAAAGTGAACACTTTACAGAACAGTGAACACTTTACAACACAAAAAGCAGCTCCATAAAGTGCAATAAGAAAAATTAGAAATAAACCTAGAATTAGTAAAAATTCGGATACATCTGAGATTGGAACCTGCGAACTGAGATTAAGAGCCTCACACACTAACCACTCAGCCAAGGACGCTTAATGGGCACCAAACACTAGCCACAAATAAAGCGGAGAGCAGATGCTATGCAATTTTAATGCTTCCAAAACATAGCCAATCGACTATTGGAAAAAAGTAATGAACGCAAGTAAACATTTAAAAAACACTGACATTGTTAAAAAAAATCTCAACTTTCGAATTTCAGAGAAAAAAAAGATGCCTTTAAGCTCTTTAAATTTCTAGAACAATTCATAATTGGCGCTTTTTTGAAAACATTAACCCAACTTGAGAAAACTGTATCAACAGATAAAGTTTTTATTCCGCTGGAAATCTTAATATATACCTAAGTGCATCAATATTTCAAGAATTTTTCCTAAAAAATAAACAAACAAAAAATCAGCAAGAGCTATATAAGAGTCTTCACTACGTTTATTACTCTTAATAAGTGAACAACTTAAATGAACACTTTTATTTGCGAGTTAGGTTAGAAAAAAAAGAAGGTTCGTAATAAATCACTAAGCTGATCACTAGTGTAATTAGAGAAAAAACTTTGATTGATTGACATTTTTTAGCCTCATTCGTTGATATTTTACTTGCGTCAACCATTCTGTTATTTTGACAATGAAGTTTTGAGCCTAAATTTTATTCTGTACGCTGCGTCCAATTTGCCTTTTCTGTAGCTTATCGATGTGTTCGGAGACCACCCAGAAAATGGTGTTAACTACCCTGCAAATTTTGAAAGCAGCACGTGACTGTAGTCTTGTTTAGATAGTAGCAATAGATATAAACAGCAGCAGCAATAAACAACTTACCTGTCTGTGGATTGATGACTGACACCAAATGGAAGCGACTAGGATTCCCATAAGCCATATCCGCAGCCGTCTTCAGCTGCTGTTGCTGCAGCTGTTCTACATGCACGAACTCTTCATTTGCCCCCATTTCACTCCTAGCTTCATAGCCAGACGAATCATCAGGAATCCGCCCACTATGAAGCTGTGATGATGCAGACTGCCATTTGGAGGCTGTAAAGCATAGGTTTCCATCATTTTATAGACTTGCAAACCATTAACTAACATACACTTCTACATCACACGACAACACCTAGGAAAACGCAAAATTCAAGGAAAAAGACGATTCGCAAAATAAACACGAGTAAAATAACCAAATTACAATGCTTATGGGAGTTTGGGTGAACTTACGGCTGTAGGAGGCAGATGCCAATCCTTCGACATTACAACTGAGGGTGAGAGAGACGTGGTGTCTACGAAGGGAGTCTGAGGTCTCGGCCCAGATTCTGCATTTGTTGTCACGACACGAGGTCAGCAAGTAGGACAGCACAGCATCCCTGCAACGAACATGATTCAACTACTAGACGCAAACAGAATCTACCAGTGGAATCACCCTTTCCCTCTCCTCCCGCCTTCAGTCTCTCGCGGAAACTAAGATGAAACAGGATGATTTTTCTGAGTGAGAGAAAAAATCCCCATGAAAAATCCCCCCACAGATGATTTTGCGTTTGAGACTTGTGCTTACTTTGGCATGAGATGACTAGTAGTGCGCCATGAGAAGCCGGTAACAGTACAGGGGTGTGCAATATAGACGTAGTTGTAAATGGCAGTTGAATTATTGTATGCTTGCTGTTCATTGCAGTCGTCTTCATGGTATAGTTGGCCTGTTGAATGCTGCGGCAGCGTGTACAGCTGCTTGTACCAAATCTTCACAAAACAGTCCTCTTTTCCCACCGTGGCGAAGTAGTGCCCGTTGGGCGAGAATTTGACTCTGCTGATTGGGTTGGGCGATCTATACTGCCAGGCACAGCACCAGTCTGCTTGTGTGTCCGCCGCACTCGATGACGCCGCCGCCTTCCACAGCTGAATTCGTTCAGCAGCAGCGGTAAGCAGCTGAGTGCCTGAAACCATCATTACCCTTGTTTTATGTTTCATGTAGCAATTTTTCAATGGTCAATTACTTGCAGCCGAACTATAAACAAACTTAAATTTCAAGTTGTTCAAGCGTCAAGCCTAAGTGAAGTGCTTCCTAGTTCACATGGTTGATTAGTTGACAAAATGATTAATGGTTCAGATGGGTGGTAGCATAAGAGTTAACGCACTTAAAGGGCTGTTTACTACAATTATAGTATCTTCGTTCGTGTTACCATTGCTTTTAAATTGTTTTCTGTTACCATTGCTAGTAATAGTTTCATTGGATTGGGGACCTGACTCTGAGACACCAAACTTGTTTCAATTAAAAAAAAATCGGACTTCAATGGCAATCAAAGTATAGAAATCGTACCATCTGGATTCCAGGACAGGCTGCTGACGAAGGACTCAAGTTGAAAGAAGCCAATTTCGTGCCACTTGATCTAATCAGTACATTTAAATATTCAAACTAAATTAGTGAACTATTGATAAAGCAAGCAATCTTTATACAAAGGCGAAGATGCACTTCGTGAACACAGGTGAGAAAATGGCAAAATAGCTTCAAATGAAAAAACTGAAAAATGGAAGAAAAAAAATTGAAAAAAAAAAAAAAAAAACGTATCATCTGCCGAAATTAAACCGACGTTCTTTTCCATTTCCCCCACCCCCTTCGTAAAATTACACAATGAAGTTATTGAATTGTGTTCCTGAGGCAATTTGCATATAATGAACGTTTAAAAAATTGTTCACTTGCTCACGCTGATACCTTTTATTGAATTGATTTTCATAAATCAAATTTCATTTTAAATAATTTCGTGAATCAAATTTCTGAAAAAAATCAAAGGGGGATCTGGAAAAGAGCAACGAACTGAAAATTATGAGCGTAACGTCCTCTCATCTCCACCATATGCGCTTGAAATAGGTTAATACAAGGAGCCAAAAAAGCGTATCGATAACATGTTATTAAACTGCCCAAGCTATGCAGCAAAAAAGAAAACTATTGTGCGAATTGGATTAGAAAAAAAATTAGATCGTAATATGCCACAACGACCTCTAGCTTGCTTGTCTAGTTACACAACCATGCGAAGTAGCCCTCCGCAAAACTTTGCGGACCGAAGAAATCAGAATCTCACAGATAAATTATTACAATTTCAAATATCAGCTTATCAAAACTGATCAGCAACGATAAATTGACCCGAACAATTCATTGGTTAAATTTACATAAAAGCTAAGCGCAGCACCATTTTCAATACAGCACAAACTTAGCATGGCGAATTAGCCGCCAGAAATGAGCCGAAGTCAAAAATTTAGATCTAGCAAAATTTCATTGCCTTGAACAAAATGAAGAAAATATTTTGAAAAAAAAATGCCAAGTATACAAACAAAAATTACATCAGCATCTGAACAAAACTTACGAAGCCGTAACAAAGCCGATCTGAGCAGACAGCCTTTAAGCTGAAAAAAGTTTTCATAAACAGTAAAAAAAACTATTAAAAAAACACAAAAGCTATAGAAACTTTTTACTCAAACAACAAAAGAAAGCGAGAACAATTTCAAAGAAGTCGAAAAAATTGAAACCGAAGAAGGACAAGACAGAAGCAAAGCTCAACTTCGCACCATTTGCAATACAATGCATAAATTGAAATTCAAGCAAGAGCATGTTATTCTGAAATATTTTCAGCGAACTAAAGTACCGAAAAAAATTTGTTGTCTGCGATATTGATTTGGATTGCTCAAACTTAGATTGATCTCGTCTAATACATGCGAAAAGCTAGAGCCCACAAACCTCAAGCGCCAAAAATCTACCGAAAAATTTCTGCGTTGGTGACTGATGGATAGCTGATGTATCGATGGATGGCTGGATTGATAGCTCATGGATGGATCGATGGAGGGAGGCCTGGCTGGATGGCTGCATGGAAGGTTAGCTGATTTAAGCATGAATAGATAGCTCAATGACTGAATTGACCGATGGATGGATGACTGGCTAGATGGAGGGATGGCTATATCAAGGGCTGTATAGAACAATGGATGGCTATACAGAAAGGTGGATGAATATTTGACTGAACCTATGGTTGGATCGATGAATTGGTAGATGGATTGCTGGTGGAGGTACAGATCGATGGCTGGTTGGATCGATGGGCAACTGCATAGATGGATGACTGATGGATAAAAGGATGGCTGGTTGCATGGATGAATTATGGGTGGCTAGTTGGACAGAGGGTGGATGGATTGCTAGTTGAATGAATAGATCATAATTCCTTGGTGTATGACTGGTTGGTTTGAGGGACGGAAGGATGAATGGCTGCATGGTTATCTGGAAAAACGGATGGCTGGGGGATCGATGGAAGTTTGGAAAGCATGCTGGTTGCATTGATGGGCAATGGATGGCTGAATGGATAGCTGGTGGGATGAATGGACGGATAATGTATGGCTAAACAGAAAGGCGGCTTGATGGATGGAAAGATAGCTGGATAAATGACTGAGTGTAAGAATGGATGGCTGGAAGGTTGAATGGATGGTTTGATAGATTGCTGTTTGGATGGATGGACGAATGAATTGACGGTCGAAGAACTAATGAAGGAATGATGAATAGAAGGATTGGTGGATGGCTGGCTGGATAGATGCCTGGATGAATGGATGGTTCAAAGCATGGATGGGTAGATATATGGATGAATGAGTTCCTGGTCACCTGAATCGATGGATGGCTGTATAGATTAAGGAGGGATGGACGATGGGTGGCTAGATGGACGCATGGCTAGCTGGATGGAGGATGGATGCCGTAATGTATGGGTGGTTAGATTGATAGACATGGGTTGGCTTGACGGATAGATTGTTGGCATGAACTGTGAATGGCTAGATAGATGTATGGCTTGATAGAAAGCTGAGTGGACGGAGGGCTGAATGAGTGGTCGGAAAAACTGAGAGATGTTTACGGGAGATGGTTAGATGGATAGCTTGATATATTGCTAGTTGGATTACTTAACGGATGCTGGATGACTAGATTATTGGATGCCCTGCCTTACCCCTCCTCAATCTACTCTGCATTGTTCCTCCTGTTTCTGTCCTACTGTGCGCTGCCCTGCCTCGCCCTTCTTCGCACTACACAGGCATAGCCCCTCGCCCGGTCCTACGCCGCTTTGCGCTTCCCTACCCAGCCTTGCCACGCCTCACCATGTGCACCCTTGCGCTGTCCTGACTTTCCTTGCGCTTTCCTACTCTTTGTTCCTCTCCGCCCCTCCTACCTTGTCCCTCCTCGTCCTGCCTTGCCCTGCCCTGTCCTACCCAGGTCCTGCCCCTCACCCTACCCATCTGTCTCTGTGCCGCTTTGCGCTTCCCTACCCTGCCTTGCCGCACCATGTACACCCTTGCTCTGTCCTGACTTTACCCCGACCTTGCCCCTCCCCGCCATTACCCCGACCTTGCCCCTCCCCGCCCGGCTCTGCTTTGCATTCCGCCACCCTGCCTTGCCCATCCTCGAACTGCCCTACCATACCTTACCACTCCTCGCCCTGCCCCGCCGTCTTGCTTTGCGCTACCCCACCCTGCCTTGTCCCTACTCGACATGCCCTGGATTGCCCTCCTCGTCAGTCCTGTGATGCCCTCCTCGTCCAGTCCTCCGATGCCTACCCTGCCTTGCCGCTCTTCGCCCTGCCTTGCCGCTCCTCGTCCTCCCTGGCTTTGCACTGCACTGTTTCTTAAGCACTGTAATATACGATACAGCATAAACGTGCCAAACTTCGTTCGTTTCTGAAAGCTTAAACAAGGAGAAATGCGGTTCAACTTAAACATGGAGAGATAGGTCGGCGGATAGAAATATATAATAGATGCTGACTGCAATTTCGTCGATTTTCGGAACAAAATCGTTCCGGTAATCAAGTAGCAAGCGGTTGCAACACAGTTGCTGATCGAAAGGGTAAACAGAGCCAACAAATATTTAGATAGGTGTCTATTAACTCAATGAGAAAAAACGGCAGGCAAAACCGTTAACCGAAAATCAATTAGAAAATGAGAAAAACCGAACAAATTGCTCATTATCAAAAAACAAAGAACTATCAATTTCAGTAAACTTGGCTAATTGTATTTCAAACCTGCGATTTCATGATTAAGATTCTCATGCCCTTCCCAAAAAAACTTCAAAAGCTAGCCACAAATGAAGCAGAGAACGGCAGAGCAGAAATTTCCAATGATACAGATGGTGATTATAGCAAAAGTGTCACCAAATGAACATTTTTATTTGCGAGTTTGGTTAGAAAAAAGAAAGAGTCATTCTAGTGCAATAACAATCGTTGCTCGATTGCTTGTTTTGCTCAAAATAAGACAAACTAATATAAAACTTCTAACCAGTTTTTCTCGACACTGGGTCAATTATTTGGGCCGATAACACTTGACTAGGGACAAGACGAAACTGACAAACCAAACCGAAATAAAAAGAACTCAATGTCGTCTAGACTCAGCGAGGCTGCAACAACATCAAAAAAAACTTTGAAAATTTTGTCGCGTATACAAAATCCGTAGACATAGCGCAAACCAAAATAACGCAAAACTAGTCAATCAAGCACGGAAACAAATTTAGCCGAAAAAAAAATAATTTAAAAAACTTTCAATCGTTTCAACAAAATAATCTCATTCATATCAACACAAGCATGTGGCATATATCTAAACGAGGTCACTAGATTGTAGGTAACCTGCATGGCAAAAATTACAACACTAATAAATATTAACCCGAAAAAGATACGGCATTACCGAGTTGATTATCCTATTACATAAAACTGCTAACGATACCGTCTGCAGTAAATAAGGTGATAATTTCAATCCCGGAGCAATTTGGTAAACTTGTATAAAAAAGGGGCGTATAAACTTTTGTAAATAAATATTGATACTGACTTACGTTTCCCGGTTCATTTCTGGATGCAAATGAAAACTTGCCATCAATAGATTTCGGTTTAAAGAGATAGATGTGATGAGCATAGGATGCTGCTATCTAAAACAGAAACTTTTTAAATTGTAGATACTTCCGCTGAGACGACAAAATTAAACGCTAATTCTTATTTTCACTGGGTAAAATGAGGACAACATTTAATTCTAACTCGCACAAACCCCTTACATAGACCTAAGGCAAATGATCAGTGCAACAATCCATTAATTTCCAAAACTTCGCTTCCAGTACTTGCCAGTTTATTGCGGGTCTATATGCCAATTTCCATGGGAAGGACTATTTTCTCTATTACACGAAGAAAAAAATTGTTAATTCGATTTTAACCATTGGGGCATTCAAGAGTGCAAAAGTTCAAAAAACAAACAATTCAATTTCCAAATGAAAACATTTTCAAAAAATTAATTGTACGTCAAATATCAATGAAATTAAGTGAACTTAACTAACAATGTATAATGGATACATGTTTACATTAATAACATTGATAAACATTATGGCAAATGGAGTTGTAGATTTTTTCCTAGAGAAACTTTTTCATAATTATTAAACATAGGTTGCCACTGATGGATCTTGTTCAAATAATAATTGAAAATAGTTCTTGAATTTGATCGTCGCTCGTCTGTGCGTAACTATATGACAAAAGTTACCTTCTTTCTCAAATCGTACTCGTTACAGATACTGTTTTTGAAGAGCGAGCAAGGAAAAGGTTTTGGGCGAGGAACCGACCTAGGAACAGGGTATGTTTTGAAGAGCGATCAAGGAAAATGGGTATTTTCCAATCAAGGAAAAAGAGTATGGCCAACACGCTATACTTCAGTTTTAAATCAGATGATAAATCGAACTTCGCACAATCGTATCAGATTTTTAAGGCCCAGCTCTGTTGTTTTTCGAGTGATATCATTAGATTGGCTGATATTCCACTGAGAAGTATGGCCTGATAATGTAGATGGTAAATTAGTGCGTGAACTATAAGAAGGCAAGTTTTGATTGATTCATTTCAACTTCCTCATGGAGCAGTAAAAACTGTTCATATTACTGCAAGGTATTCGATATTTTTACGTGGTTTCACGAATGCTTCTTTGCTGAATAAAATAAGTTCAATTTTTTTAAAACTCAATTGCAAGGAATGCCTATTAAAATTGATAAAATTTTGCAACTGTTTTCTAGTTCTTTTATGGCTAAATCTGCAATTTAATTTTCGCAAAGTGGTGAGGAATCATCTGCATCCTGTACTACTTTGCAAGAAATCGGTAATTACTTGTTCAAGTCGTTAAATTAAAAAACAGAACAAATATCAGCGGTCCTAAAACAGTGCCCTGAAAGACACCTTACCTTGGTGTATTGAAATCCAATCTGATTCAGTGTTGTTGACAATTGTTTTCTGTTCTCGGTGGCCGATGAAAGAATTTATCATTTCTATCGCAATTTCAGAAAAATTCAAAATCTTAGTTTTGTAGAAGAAACTTATAATCAGTAGAGTCGAGTGCTTCAGACAGATCTGATTAAAAGCAAGCAACAAAACTATTGCTGACTCATTGTTAGAAAACAATTTTTTGAATATTTCGAAAAAAAAGCGTATAAAGTTTTTTTGAATACAGAAAATAATGCACCTTTGATTGAGATTGAACTGCCAATTTAGGGTCGTCTTGTTTGTATACTGGAGTAACAATTGCTTTCTTAAGCTTCTGTAGAAGATAATGTTTTCAAAATGTTAATTAGAAAAGAAAGTGCGATGCGTATATACTTCATTCTAACACGCCTTTAGCGCCGATGCCGGAAAGTCAGACGGCGCCGATGGCTTTTTAGAAGTGATTTTTTAAACTTTCTATTTTGCACTCAAAGTTATTTAAAAAATCTGAAAAAAAATTTCTCAAAGAAAGAACTGGATTGTTGTATTGTTTTCGTAAAAACAAGATTGTGTTGAAAATTTGTAGTTGAGCAGATTTGCCATTTTAAAATTGTTTGTTACTATTTCTCCGGCAGAAGTTTTCAAGCAGAGAAACAAAATTCTCTAATTTTCAAGTACTGTTGATGCTATAAAAAGTATATACAGGATGCTCACTCTGGGTTTGTCGTTACGCCAAAAATTGATTTTTGCCAAGCACACTTTTAATTTATAGTACAACGTGGTTGGTGAAACTGTTGTAGATTAATTCGAGGTAGCTATGACTAATAAAACAATTGGTTCTAGCAAGGTATGAATTGAGCTCTTCTTCTGAGTAATTTCTTAATCGTAGATTTTGTTTTCTGGTTGAGTTTTAGCAGGAGATTTTAGTTCAGTTGTAAGGTTTGGGATAGTATGTATGTTCGTGTTGACACCTTATCTTAATATATGAGGGTCACCAAGCATCCCCTCTTATCACCTCCAACATATAGTAATGACCATTGACTTAATTGATTGATCTTTCAAACAAATAAATATAACTAGCGTGTACCGCACCTCCGGTGCTTCGAATTTTCAACAACTCAAAAACCTATTCTTTGAGTGTACTCTGACAGCACCCAATTACAGAGTTCGTAATTAAAAATTTTATTTTGATGAACCATAAAGTTTTGTGAAAATTTTAAATTGAAAATGAACAAAAAAACGTAACATCTCGGAAACTGAAAGAAATTGAGCAGTCGCATTTGGATGTAAGATTTGCAACTCCTGAGAGTAACTTCAAATTTTGTAAAATTTTTCATTCGATTTTTTAATTCAAATTTTGAAAAACCATAAAAATGTGTGACATTTTTTTAATATCCAAGTTTATAATGAATTAAGAAACGTCACATCCAGGAATTTGAAAGCAATTGAGCAGTGGCATTTGGACGCAAGATTTGCAGCTCCTGAGAGTACCCTGACAGTACCCAAATACAACGTTGAGAAATTCAGATTTTCAGAAACTTCACCTTAAGTTTTTTGAGAGGTATTTTTTTGAAAACCAGAAAAAATTCACATTTCGAAAACTACCAAAATTTAGTTGATTCGGGTTTCAGAAAGATGGGTACTGTTTTGTAAGGTGCTTCAAAATTATAAGGGAAAAAGATTGTATCGGGAGACTCTTTCTCGTCTGCATCAAAATATTTCAAATTGTAATTTCATAAAATGACTAAAATGCAACAGTAGGATTGCGCAGAGTCAGTTGATTTAACAAGTTCGGGAAATTCAACTATTTGTTTTGCGCGGATTATATGATAGATTCAAAAATATCTTTATCGTTTTTTAGACGTGGTTTTGATTTCTATCCAAATACTATCGAATTTTTTCATACAGAAAAATTAGATCTTGTCGTTTTCTTTTTGGGCTGAGCGTTCTGGTTACTAGGAATATAACCGAACCACTTGTTAGTGCAGATGATTAATACTGGCATTTTCAGACCTGTAATGAACTGGTAAGTCCTAGAAACCAAATTTAGATTTTTAATAAAAGTCGGGGTACAAGTGTAATAGACGGGCCCTAATTCACATTAGTTTTAAGCAAACCCAGCAGTTAACTAAATTTTCAAACGTAATAACCTGCCTCGTTTGCTTTAACTGATTCGATAATTTTGAATTTTGATTGACATCACTGAAGCAATAAACTGATTAAACATGAGGCACTCTATTTACATTAGAGACCCGGTTAGTTTCCCGAGACCCCTCTTTCACACTGGTATTATGGTTAGCTCTGATCATTTGCTTCCGGTCTATGATAAAAAACAATTTGAGTTCGGAGTAAATGTTGTCGAAATGGACATTGAAAACATTTTGGACAAAATCCCCGAATAGGCGATAATTTTTGTCCGCTAGTGTAGAAGGACAATTGAATTTTTTTAACTCACCATTCCTTCCGAAGAAGAGCATTCTACACATCCAACTTGAATATTCCCGTACTTAATTCCAGGGATTATTTGCAATGTTTCCAAGTTGCATGTGAGTATGACTAAATTAGTTCCAGAGCCATACACAATAAAGGACGTGGTGTTTAAGTAACCCACGGAGTAGCAATTGTCACCCGGGTTTACTGCACCTGTGAAAACTTGATGCCTGTTTAAATGAACAAGGTCGTACCATTTTATTTCCGATGGTTTAAGTACTTCTTTCATAAGCACCTGCAAACAACCAATTAACAAATTTGAGGACCAGCACAATCTATGCAACACGATCAATTTCCAAACATAAAAAAGGATTGTAACATCCGCCCAAATACTACACAGCGACGGAGCGTAGAAAAAGTACCTATTAACGACTGGCAGGCGTCAGTTACCTTAATCCTACTCGTTTTTCACCGTCTCGACCTTGCCAGTTGATTTTCTGGTCTGTTTAGGGCTCAGTAAAAAGTTACTATTTTTAGGCCATCAGTCAAACGACTTTTGATCAGCTTTCGTTTACATGCGAACACAACCACATAGCTGAGTCTCGGATCCTCAGACTACGTGATTGCCATTAAAAACACGGCTCGAACAACCTATTTTAATATGTTTTTGTGTGACAGTTCTATATTGGTCCATTGGAGATGGATTGACCCTTTCCTCTTTCTAGCTTGTCATATTCTAAAATATCAAATTATACCGGTGTTAATTCAGAGTTCTACGACATCCAAGTAGCTACAAAGTCAGTTTTATATAGTCCCTTTACATACAACAGTCTCTGGGGGACCAAGCCTCCGCTCCCGTAATCTTCCCGAGATAACGCTGATATCTCTCCCAATTTGTGGCACGGGAGGGTTCCGTGGAAAATTCCTTCCCCACTGAAGCTTTGTGACATTCGACCAGAATGGCCAAAATGTAATTTATGCAGGATTCGAATTTTGAGCAGTAAGCCTTCCGAGTTGATGATTTCGAAGGATTAGCGACGTTATTGGAACGTTTAGCCAAACGGTGAGGGCTAGAATATTCTAGTATTTTAAATTTTCAAAAATTCGGATGATGACGTCACATTTCTGAGAAATGCTGAAACGGCCATTTTAACAAAAAAGCGAGTAAAAAACAGAACAACTTTATCTGTGATTGCGAACAGAACGAAAATCGAGATTAAAGAAAAACAACAACGAACTACAATAGCAGAAAACGTTCCAAGTTGCAACTATTGTGCTGCTACAATAGTTGCAAGGCCGTTGCCAACAACGGTGAAGGGTGAGAACCAGCCTTCCGGATTGGTGTGCAATTGAACTTGAGGAGCTTGATTCACTGGATTCAAGAATCCGGAAGGGTTTCGGGACTGGAACTTTTAGCCTTTTATATAAACTTTTAGCTTCTTGTCATGTCCTGAATTGAATTTAATTAACAACTGGATTCATTTTGATAAGGATGAGAAGCTAGGAGTTGGGGGAAAGGGTTGATCCATCTTCGATGGAGATGATGATTTTTATCTACTGAACAAAAACAATAGTAATATAATAAGTAGTAGCCCTGTTTTTAGGAGTGACCTCGTGGTCTGGGGATACTGAGACCCAGCCATGAGCTCACTATCTTTGCATGTAATTCAGTTAATTTGAGCGTTCTGGTCGAAGCCGGAGAGCAGTAACGTTTTTGTCGACCCGATGTAAGAAAGACCACCGAAAAGTACTGGCTTGGTAGAGACGGTGAAAAACATGCAAAGCTCTGTTTAGACGCTAGCCAGTCGTCTTAAGACTTAGTTTTGTTATCCGTCGATATGTATCTTCCGGGCGAATGTTACATGTATGTTTTTATGGCGCTCCTGGGTGTTATTCTTTTTTAACATCATGACCGGCAGAACCGTTAACGAGCACTCCGCGCCGAGCGGATGCTCACATTAACGCCCTTAATAGGCCTAAACCGCCGGGGTGGAAGGGTAGTTCGGAACGCGGCGGCCTTCCGAATTGCCGTGAATAGTTTTTTAACCTAGTTAAGACCGAAAATTCACGAACCAGGAAGGGTGGGGGGATCGGCCGTCCCCTCGTCCCCTGAGTGGTTGGTGACCAAAAACACTTAAAGATATAAGTAAAACCAAACAAAAAGTAGTATAGTACCCAAGAAAAACAAAAAACATAAAAAATAACCGAAAAAACCAAAAACAGTAAAAAAGTAAAAAATCAGTAGAAATCATCCCCCCAGAAAAGATGTGATTCAACCCCCCCGTTTGTTGTTGATAGATATATTGTTGTTACAGGCATTTATATCAGTCAGGATCGTTACGATCAATTTTGAGGCCCGTTTGTGAGGCTTGTACTGTAGGGTTATTTGAGCATTTAAGCACGTTAATGATAAATTGCGCTCAATCCGGAAGGGTCAGCTGATTTGCGCTCAATTCGGAAGGGTCTTGGGTGAAGACCGATCCGGCAAGCAGTACAAGGAGCAACAAGAAGGGGCTCAACGACAACAACAATCGACTGTTGGGTATCGTTAACAAGTTTTGTATCCCTTTTGGTACAAAAAGTAAGATAGTAATCTGTGGGGGGCTCGACAGTGCTGCACTGTAGTGACCCTTCACCGAACTGCGAATATCCGAGTTAAGCACCTTAATTCGGATAATAAACAAACCCGGAGGGGTATAGTATTACTAATATTATTATTTATATAGCCTATATTAATAGTCTTATATCGTTTTTCAGTGAAAAACAACGAAAACAGACCGGTTTTTAGGGTCAAAATAGCGATATTTTGATCCCCCCACTAGTCGCGATTTTTGAGATATCGATATTTTTTGAAACGGAAAAAAGCGCTAAGTTAGTGTGTTACATCGTAACTGCACTACTGTAATAAGTAGAACCGGTTAACTTTAGTTCGGAAGTGGTTGGAACTAGTTTGGTACCAAAAACCAAATTTTCCCAATTTTTGATAGTAAGAAACACTATAAAATCAGAAAATTTTTTGAAATCTTTGAGTTAGGACAGTAAAAATAGTTGTTCGGACAACGTCCACTAGTGAATCTACGAGTTTTAAAACCCGCTACCCGAAAGCCTTCCGGGTTGCAGAGAAATCGAACATAACGTGTTTGATTTGGTGGATTCATCAATCCGGAGGGGTCCAGGTAGCATAGTTTTTCGCAAATTTTTTCTGCAAAAGCGTTTTAGATCGGGTCTTTTACATTGAACTAGAAGAGTATAGGCCTTGTGAGCTCAGATCAATAATTTTTAGGTCGAAAGGACCAGATTTGCGGAAAAAGTTAGGCGGAACCTATAAGAGCGAAAATTTTTGAATTTGGAAAAAAGACGTTTTGGTTAATAACTTTGGAACTACAGAGCATATCGAGTCAATCTTGGTACCATTAGATCAGAAATTAGCTGAACTTACTAGTAAGAAAGAGAATTACTCGAAAAAGCGAGCGAGAAAATTTTTTGAGATTGTTTTTAGCAAATTACACAAATCCGGAGGGGTACACCCTTCACGTTTTATAAATTTTTCTGAAAAACCCAGAACCCCTACCAAAAGTTGATAGCGATTGAACTAAGTAACATAGGACAGTTCTAGACAAAAAGGGAGGGCTGAAGGCACAAGACAACCATAATAGAGTCGAAATTAGGCAAGTGATAAGACCCTTCACCGTTAGTGTGAATTGTCAAATAAGTGCCTTAACTTCAATCCGGAGGGGTCTAGGAAAGGACCCTATACCCTTCCCAGTTAATTCAACCAGCATAAAAGCAACGCAGAACGAATCCGGAGGGGTATAAGCTGAAATTAAGAAAACTACAAAAAGCTACTTTGACAGAGCTAAGGGCTCCCAATCCGGAGGGGTCGAAATTTTTCAAAGTCAGAGGGGTCCGAATCCGGAGGGGTCTCTCTTCCACAAAACCGGAGGGGTCCGAATCCGGAAGGGTCTTATAGTTGCTAATTCGGAGGGGTTCAAATCCGGAGGGGTCTAATATTAACTAACTAGGAGGGGTGCCAATCCGGAGGGGTGCCAATCCGGAGGGGTCCAAATTCTGACAGTCCGGAAGGGTCCTATTTGTACCAATCCGGAGGGGTATTATTTTATTAAGGACTTAGGTAAACGAAAGAAAGACTAAAAAGCGAGAGGTATTAGGTTATTAATAAACAGGCTAGGTATCAGTGACTGCACTGGTAACTTGCCTTTCAAAACGAACCAGACTAATACAAAACAGATCCGAACTCGGATATTCGCGACACTAAGTCTAAATTAGAAAGAGCGTGACTCATTGGTGTGGATTGAAACATAATACGTTTTTGTAAAAAGTGACTGCCCTGAGGATTTTAGTAGGTCTAGCTCGGGCAGTCCGAAGGCAGATAGGTAACACAATACTCGGTGGGTGCAATAGACGCCCACTTGAGAAAATAACTGCCTTCAAAGTTTTGTCTGTTTGGTGCAGCACCAAGCAGGGAAAGCTTTTTCTTTAAAAGACAGGTTCGACTATTGTACTGCGACCAACTAAGAGTACAAGACACATACGTTTTTTTATATATACATTCATATTGTGTCAATATATATTTTTTGTTTTTGATTTTAAATCAACCTAAACTGTGTTTGATTGGGTAGTGAGTACACTATCTTTTAAATTGACTGATAACATCATATTGTGCTAGTTTCCAGATCTTTGGACCGATAATCGGCTAGTGTGAATAAATTTTATACCAACTGTACTCTGACAACATACAGGGATTCGTGGTCACTATTTAATAGAATCTGGTGAAATTTATTGTGTTGTGTCATTATTATTGTTAATAAAACTATAAGGTCTCTAGCAATTGAGTCAAGAGTAGGCATAGGAAAGTGACAAATAAAGAATGAGTTTAGACAAGTCAAGGATACCAAAACGAGGTAATAGCTCTAGGAAATTCATACCTGAAAAGCAAAGAAAAACGATGACCGATCCTTTTGTGGATTGGATCAAGCGAACCCGGTCCGATAAAGAAGGGACGGTTTCAGGCAGAATGGTTGAAACGAGAAGTCAAAAGACCTCAGAAGAGCGAAGAGAACTGTTAGAAGTGGAGGTCAATACGGACCATACCATGAACGACAACCAGGGAGTAAATGGACTGGAAGGGAGAGGCAGAAGGCTGGCGAGTGAATCTACTCCGGTAGAACAAGGCCATGATTTTGCCACTTCCACCGGGACGTTGGATCGAGAGGAGATGTCGGAACTGTCCGACATCTCAACTGAAGTAACGGCAACTAGAAGATCTCCGACAGACAACACTATG